ACAGTATGTTTGATGATGAAGGTATACCTGAGGATTGGCGACACAGTGTGTTGGTGCCGTTGTATAAGGGCAAAGGAGATGTGAGAGATTGTGGGTCATACAGGGGTGTGAAATTGCTAGAGCACGGAATGAAGGTAGTGGAGAGGGTGCTTGAGAGGAGGTTGAGAAATATGGTGACAGTTAATGAAATGCAGTGTGGGTTTATGCCTGGTAGGGGAACGGTGGATGCGTTGTTCATGGTGAGAATGTTGCAGGAGAATTATAGAAAGAAGAAACAAAGATTGTACATGTGCTTTGTGGATATAGAAAAGGCTTTTGATCGAGTACTGAGGAAGGTCATTGAATGGGCGTTGAGGAAGAAAGGAGTGAATGAGAGACTTGTTAAAGCTGTGATGCAGCTGTATGAAGGGGCAAAGACAAAGGTGAGGGTTGGAAGGGGGATGTCGGACGCTTTTAGTGTTAAGGTAGGAGTGCATCAAGGATCAGTGTTATCACCGTTTCTGTTTGCAATTGTGATGGATGTTGTGTGTGGAAACATAATGGAGGGGTTGTTATTTGAGATTTTGTATGCAGATGATTTAGTCTTGATGGCTGATAGCATGGAAGAATTGCAGTTAAAATTTGACAGACGGAAAAGTGTTATTGAAAAGAAAGGGTTAAAAGTTAATATTGGTAAGACGAAGGTAATGGTGAGTGGGGAAGGTGGGGAGCGAGTGATAAGTAAAATAGACCACTGTAGGGTATGTGACAGGAGAGTGAAGGCTAACTCGGTATTGTGTATAGGATGTCAGAAATGGGTGCATAAGAGATGTAGTGGTGTGAGGGGGGCACTGAAAAAGGTGGAAGGCACGTTCAAATGTAAGAAATGTGTTCATGGTGTGATTAATAGGACGGACGCAAGGACGGGGTTGAATGGTGGTATTGAAAGAGCGGAAAGCTTTGTTTACTTAGGGGATAAGCTGAACGCGGATGGAGGATGTTTGAGCGCAGTTACGGCTAGAGTTCGTATAGGATGGATGAAATTTAGGGAGCTGGGTGGGGTATTGTGTGGAAAGAAATGGTCAGTGAAGATGAAAGGGAGGGTATATAAAGCATGTGTGAGAGCAGCGATGGTATATGGGGGTGAAACTTGGGTGTTGAGGAGAGAGGAGGAAAGTGTACTGCAGAGGGCTGAAAGAGCTATGGTGAGGATGATGTGTGGGGTTAAAGTGAAGGATAGGAGGAGTAGTACAGAGCTGATGTCAACGATGGGACTGAATGAGGACATTGTGACATTGATAAGGAGATCGAGATTGCGGTGGTATGGACATGTGTTGAGAAGGGATGAAAGGGTCGGGATTAGGCGAGCGTTGGAGTTCGAGATTGAAGGAGTGGTAGGAAGGGGTCGTCCGCGATTGGGATGGAGAGAGCAGGTGAAGAAGGACAGGGTGAAAGCGGGGTTGCGTGATACTGAGGCGAGTGACAGATGTGGATGGCGTCGAGGGGTATTTCGGTTTCATCATAGGTAGCCAAACGGCAACCCCGATCTCGGGGAAAATGTCGTCTAAACGTGTGTTGTTTGTTGTCGCCCTGAACTAATTAGTATGTATGAAAAAGCTATCAAATTTTTTGCTAAATTTTAATAAATTTTGTAATTTTCGCCAATTTTTTTAAACTATGTAACTTGAATGTTAACTTTGGTTTTGTCACCAAAATATGAGCATATATTATGTATTGTTCTGAATTATTTATAATTCATTACACATTTATTTTAATTTTTTAGGGTCTCAAAATCATTTTTATTTGTTAATTAATTCACTAATTAATTTGCTTTCTTTATGAAATTTCAAAATTTTTGAAAATAAAATATTTCCTGAAAAATGATTCTTTCCCTTATCAAATCAGGGCCTCTCAAAGTTGCACATAGAGGTTGTACAGCTGGTGATGAATGATTCAGACTGTGGTGAAGATGAAGTTGGTGATGATAGTGGGGTGGGAGGTCACGACGACAGAAAGATAAGTTCTTCTAACATTAGAAAACAACTGCTTGGTACTTTGTTAAGAACGCCGCAGGTTTTAAATAAATTTATGTAATTTTTGTCATTTTCATATTTTCTATCTATTTTTTTTAAATGGTTTTTTTAAATAATATTTTATTGAAATTTATTATAACTTAGTATTTCACTGAAGAATTGTAGCGATAAGATCAGTTTTTTTAATAATTTACGTAAAAAATGAATGAATGAATGAAGGAAGGAATGAAGGAGTAAATAACTAAATAAATAAACGAATCAGCAAAAGAATGATTAAATATGTGGTTAAATAAATAACTAGACAAACAAAAAATAACAACATCAATTTCATTCTAGAACAAGGATAGCCTCCCAAAGTCTCCATTCATCATTGGCTTGACGGGCGGCATTGCAAGCGGCAAGACATCTGTAAGCAAAAGATTAGAAGGCCTTGGTGCTGGCATCATCAATTGTGATTTGTTGGGTGGATAATTTTTTTTAATTTTCACAAATTTTATTTTTACGAATTTTATTTTATTAAATAATTAAGTTGGGCATTTAAATTGGGTACGATCTTATTCCACGTTATAATATAATTATAATTAAATAATCTTAAAATACTTACAATGCAACTCACACAAAGGCCATGAAGCCTACCTACCTGGAAGTGAAACTTTGGAAAAAATTCGCCAAAATTTCGGCAGCGAGGTCATAGATGCTACTGGCCATGTTGATAGGAAGAAATTAGGTGGAATCGTTTTTAGTGACAAAGTTGGTTTGAGTTTCGCGGATGTTTTCTTCAAATTTTGGTTTAGAATTATTTAGAATTTGGTTTATTTTTGTTTAGAAATAGTAAAATTTTCCAAAGTATTTGCTGTCTCAGCTATCATTAACATTAAAGCATGCATGTATGAGCGCCTGTATTATATAGCAATATAATAATAATAATAATTAGCCATTCATATTAGTCGTTCGTTTGCATGGCAGACAGAGTTCCTTGCACACGCACGTGCACATGATATGCCGGGATCTTTTTGCATTTGAATCTAGTTACCGCTACCACATTGATATCATACAAATATATTATTATATATATTTTATAAAACATATTATTTATACTAAATAATTGACATTTTTTAATAGAATAAGTTGAATGAACTGAACCAAATTGTTTGGCCTGCCATTCAGAAATTGGTCGAAAAATATGTTCAAAAATTGACATCGGAAGGTGTGTGTATGTTTAATTCTGTGTTTTAAACAATGAAAATATGTACAATCTAAGAAATTTGTGTATGAACCAATGAAAAAAATAAAATATTAGTAAGAGATTAATATCCCATAAAGCTATGAAAATTGGAATATTCTAACAATGTTTTTGTATGAAACAATTGAAATAAAAATTATATTAATTTTAATGTATGAAATGTAAAAAATTTAAAAAGGTAGTTTTTAACTCCAAGAAAAATTGAAAAAATCGCAGGTAAGTCAATAATTGTGTTGGATGCAGCCGTGCTACTGGAGGCTGGTTGGGATGGAGGTGTGCATGAGGTCTGGACCGCCATCATCCCCGCTCATGAGGTTCGTTGAGTCATACTTTGAAAAAAAACATTTTCCCTTGGTATTTTTGTTAATTTTCAATTAAAGAATGAATGGATGGATGAGTAAATGAATGAACAGATGGATGAATGGATATGACGAGCAAATGCATAAACTCATGAATCATTCAAAATTAGACGATACTCAATTTTATTCATTTATTTCGAATAATAATTGAATTTTATTTCTATTTTAACTAAAGAATGATTTATAATTAAATTAAGATTATACAAACCTCACAAAAAATTGAAAAAACAAGATATTGACGGCACCATGAACACAATTCAGGCGGAAAAACGAATCATGGAGAGGAACAAAGTAAGCCAGGGTGAGGCGCGGGAGCGTATCAAATCCCAGATATCCAACCAGGAACGAATCAGCAGATCCAATGTAGTCCTGTGCACACTTTGGGAGTACCCCTATACACAAAAGCAGGTGTTGTACAGTGTACACACATAAATGCATACATACATAATTGTCTTATAACAATGATTTGAACAAACAAATATTAATATTAACCCATTAATTTGTTTGTTTCTTTATTCGTACATTCATCCATTCGCTTATTTGTTAATTTAAGTTTTTATCAATTCATTCATTCGTCATTTCATTCCTTTATTCTTGTATCTTCCCATTTATTTATTCATTCATCTATTCACTCCTCCATTCATTTATTCGTTCATTTCTTCGTTCGTTCATTCATTTAACCATTCTTTCGTTCATTCATTCTTTGTTTCTTCGTTAGGTTGAAAAAGCTTGGAGGTTATTACTGGAAAGGATTCCGAAGTAGTGAAAAAGAAGAACTAATTATGTTAATTAACACGAAAATACATTAATAAATTATGTTAATTGTTAGCTACCGTATAACATTTTAATACTAAACAATATTTCGAAGTTAACACAGCAAAACATTCTGTCAATATAATTTATTCCAATGAATGGTGGCAATTAAAAATAACAATAAAATCAAGAAAGAAAGAAACAACGAAAATAATAACAATAATAATAATCGCGTTCAATTCTTCGGTCACGAAGTTACAGGCTTGATGAAGTTTCAAATCCAACAATAATATAATCAATGAAAAGAGGAAAATATGATCACAAAAGTCGGAACCAAAAATACGAAGTTATTTTCTTTACCTAACTGCGACCATTACACTCACGTGCGCGTACGTAGGAATTGAACTATACACTACATGACCTGAACTTTAACCTAGAGAGCTAGATATCTAGGTAGATAATTGATTGATAGAGAGAATAAAATAGACAAGTAGGTAGATAGATAAAAAGAAGTTGTCAGAAAGAGGCAGAGGTAATTAGAAATAAAGCCAAAAAATGGATTAAGATAAATAGAAATAAAATACAGAAAGTTAAAAAATTTATGATACTCATGAACCAACTTTCTAATGAGAACACAAAAAACGTCATATACATCGAGAAGAATTTCAATATTTATGACGAACAAGGTAGAAAAAAAAAAGTTTAAGACACATCAACACAACTTAAACATCGTTGTAATAAACACAACAAAACAATCCAATGACGTCATATTTATTTATTTATTTCATTTAAACTAACCATCTTAATTTAGTTTTTAATCAAATCAATCAATTAAACAATTGATTAACTAATTATCATAATTAATTAATTTTCTACTCATCCTTCGGTTGGCGTTACGGGTGGCTGATTTTTGAAGTACTCATGGGCCTTGTCCACAGCTGTAATGGTAATGTTGAACAGAGGGTGGGTCCGGCCCTGCGATTAACATAATTTATTACAATTTAATGTGCCAAAAGGCTGTTACATTAGTTGGACAAAGCATCAATGGCGTTGTTTTTAACCATTAACATATTATAATTAGAAAAGCAGGGAGTTGTAGTAAAAATTAACATAACGGTGCTAATACTACGCCAATACGAATTTCGACAATATTTAAAAAAGTAACCAAAAAATACATAATACAAGTATAATAAAAATACACAGTAATACAAATACAATAAAAATACAAGTAAATAAAAAATTAAAATAAATAAACAAATTACAATTTTATTCGATTTATTTCCTACAACGGTTTCGGAGGACAACTTGCCCTCCGTGAAGTGCTGGGCTATCGACAGACCACTGAGGCAATAACAGGTGTGGTAGTAATCCCGGGCCCTATGTTATTATTATTATATTTATTATTAATAATTATTATTTATAATAATTATTATTATAACAGGTGCGGCAGTAATCTCTGGCCCTATATTATTATTATTATTATTATTAAGAGAACAGCAGCAGCGGCAGTAGTAACAAATGAAAAAGAAATTATTTGTTTCCTATCAGATGAGAAACCAATGAAGTTCAATCAATAAACGAGGCAGGTGTGTGTCGTGTGCGTGTGTATGTGTGTGATTGTGGTTTGTAAGTGAGTTAAGATAGTAGAACCAACTTCTCTGGTTTGTCCACCAGGCCACCAGATGCGTGTTGGCAACAAATCAACAAGTATTCCTGCAATGCTTCTGTGTGTGTGTGTGTGTCTGTATAAGTATGTTTATCTATGTATGTGTGTGTAAGTATGTGTATCTATGTGTGTGTACGGTGTACGTACGTTTGTGTATGTATGTTTTCGTGTGTATGTGTGTGTGTGTGTATAATATCTTTTTCAAGTAATTTAAATTTAAAGGTATTAATACTAACTCTGGTGAAACATCCATCCCTCATAACTCAGTGCATTGTCACCTGGATCAAATATACGGAGATAATATATAATACAAAGAGAGAGGCAGAGAAAGAGAGAGAGAGAGAGAGAGAGAGAGAGAAAGAGAGAGAGAAGCTGAGGGAGAGAGAGACAGGTAGAAAAATGACTAAGAAAGAAACAGAAAGAAAGCAAAAAAGGGTGACATACACACAGACACATACATACCCTGCTTGGTGAGTATGGTATGCAGTATGGGGAATATGCCCCCCTGCCAAAATGAGTAGCAGCCATCGACCAGCTTGTTGGTGCGGCCCTGGAAGCCACCCTCATATGACATCTGCTTCATGGCTGTCCACCTCTGCGTTGCCATGAAAGTTTAATAATAATAAAATCATAATAAACAAATAATAATAATAAATAATAATAATGATAATCGTGTGTGATAAAAATATTAATAATTAGCACTAAAGAAACTACCAGACCGCCGAACAAACAATAACTAACTACACATAGAGAAAGAGAGAGAGAGAGAAAGAGAGAGAGAGAGAAAGAGAGAGAGAGAGAAAGAAAGAGAGAGAGAGAAAGAAAGAAAGAGAGAGAGAGAGAGAAAGAAAACAAGGAGAGAGAGAATGAAACAAACAATGAAAAAACGAGAAAAAAAATAGAACGAGAAGAATATTGAATAAGAATGAAAAAACGAATGAGAAAGAGAGAGAAAGAGAGTGAAAAAAAAGAAGGAGGGAAGCAGAGAGACACAGCCAAACAAACTGACTAACCAGCAGGGCAGCATGATCGCAGAGACATTCCTTGCCAAGTAGCACCAGAGCGGCGAGGCCACAAAATGAATAGCCTCCGTGCGCCTCCATTCCAGGGCAGCCAGCAAACCCCCCTTCGTACGTCTGACAACTGTTCGTGATTTTTATATTTTTCGTTGTTGTAGTTGTTGTATCTAGATGTTGTTGTGCTTTGTTAGTGTGCTAATAACGTTAGTTTAGTTAGTAAATGTTGCCACATTCGTTCTTTCATTATTATATATACTACATGCTGTTTTTTCTATGTTTGTTTGTTTGTGATTTGTGGCTGTTGTTAACATCTGACATCTGTGCAAAAAGAAAACAAACTTGTCATACACACACACACAGGCACGCGCGCACACACACACACACACACACAGTAATACAGTTATACTCACAACACATGTACGGATACACGTATATACACACACACACACACAATTATACACACATGAACGCATACACACAACATAGGTATTATATTGTAGCTAGTGTTTACTGAGTTGGGAGTTGTTTTGTTGTGTACCAGTGTTATCAATAGGTTAGCTACTGTTGTTGTTGGCTGTTGTTGTTGTTGGCTGTTGTTGTTGTTGGCTGTTGTTGTTGTTGGCTGTTGTTGTTGTTGGCTGTTGTTGTTGTCACAATAACCCAATGACAGCTAACCTCACAATCCACTCAGGAGTGGCATCAAACATTTCAGGTGTGGCTATGTTGAGAAGTCGGGCCACACTCGCCGCACAATATGCTCCTCTGTGAATGTGTGAGTTTTTGTGTGCGTGTTTGTTTGTATGTGTCTGTGTGTGAAAATGTGTGTTTGTATGTGTGTGTTGGATGAGAAAATGAGTGAAGAAACCTGATGTCAATCTCTCCATCTTCCTGCATCCTAAAACTTCCGTCTGGACACTTCACAGACATGATGAATTTGAACATGGCTTCCCTAAGGGGCAAATAAATTAACATAAATTAAATCATAATTTTAATAATAGTAGTTTAAATAACATAGCTTGTATTATAATCAATCAATCAATCAATCAATCAATCAATCAATCAATCAATAAATCAAACAATCAATCAATCAATCAATTTACAATTATTGGAAATAACTAACAACAATTACCAACCTATTAATAATTTTGTATGCTTCTTCAGTTCCAATTATGCAAAGAGCATTCACTGCAGCGTACGTTGGGGCTAGGTGGGAGTACTGCCCTGGGCCCCCTACAATCAATCAATCAATCAATCATTCTGCCAACCAGTTAGTAAGTCAGTCAATCAATCAATCAATCAATCAGTCTGCCAACCAGTTAGTAAGTCAATCAATCAATCAATCAATCAATCAATCAATCAGTCTGCCAACCAGTTAGTAAGTCAGTCAGTCAGTCAGTCAATCAGTCAATCAATCAATCAATCAATCAATCAATCAATCAATCAATCAATCAATCAATCAATCAATCAATCAATCAATCAATCAATCAATCAATCAATCAATCAATCAATCAATCAATCAATCAATCAATCAGTCTGCCAACCAGTTAGTAAGTCAGTCAATCAATCAACTAAGCAAACAGCCAGCCAGCCAGCCAAGCACCTAATCAAACAAAATCAATCAATCAGACAATCAAATCAACCAGCCAGTCTGTCCAATCAACAAATCATCAACAGGATCACGACATCACCCACCCCCAAAGCCTCCAGTAGAATTTTGACACCGGGACAAAAAATCTATGATGCTTCAAATAAAAAAAATTAAAAAATTCAAATTTTCTAAGATTAAAATTAAAACAAATAAAAAATAATAATATATTACACTAAAATATAAAACAAATATAAAAATACTAGACCACAAGAAGAAAAATATAATTAAAAATTATGGAAAAAATGAAACAATTATTACCAAGAGAGTTTTTCATCTGTCATGTTGATATCCAGTAAAGACATGCTCTGTAGTATCCAATAGCACAGCCAGGTCCTACTTGCATCTAAACTCTTTAAAGAATATATCCATAGAAAATTAGTTAACTTTTATTCACTATTTTAACTTATTATTCTTTAAAAAGAATAATAAATTAGTAATTAGCAATATTTTTTTACATCTTCAATGAAAAATAATTTTAATTTTACATTCATTTCTGTTTGTTACACTTTCTATCTATATAATACCTAGTGTGCTAAGTGTACAAATAAATAGAAGTTACACACACACGCACCCACACACAGAGAGAGAGAGAGAGAGAGAGAGAGAGAGAGAGAGAGAGAGAGAGAGAGAAAGAGAGAGAGAGAAAGAGAGAGAAAGAAAGAAAGAGAGAGAGAGAGAGAGAGAGGACATACATATTGAGAGAGAGAGAGAGAGGACATACATATTGAGAGAGAGAGAGAGAGAGAGGACATACATATTGATCATCAGTTTGTAACATTTAAAAAATTAGCAATACGATAAGCACCGCACCTAGAATTATAACCAATGTAGCAGTATTCAAAATGTATGCATACAAAAATTGTGAAGTTTTACCATAAAACTTTTACGGATTTAGAGTAGAATATTATAACACAATAAACTAATAAAAAAAATATGCCAAATGAAACAAAATAAAATAAATAAATAAAAGAAAAACTTTGAAATCTCACAGAATAAGATGCTGACAAATGTTCCAGACCTTTTATTAAAAACTGAGAGTGTCTGATGCGAAATAACTCCAGAGCACTGCCCCAAAAAATTAACTACTTATTAAAATTATCCAAATATAAAATGATTTAAAATGATTATTTATGGTGATGTTTTCTGCTGTGAAATTTGAAATTTCTAAATTAGAGTCTTTGAAGTATGTGCAATACATAATTATAAACTTTTTCTAGTGATAACATTTGATTGTTGAAATGGTGTGTAATGATTAAAGTGCCTTACACCACTACTGCTGTAGCCATGTTCAAATGCAAAAAATACAAAAAAAGAATTGAAAAATGGAAAAGAGATATGTATTAATTTTTATAGTACTTTAAATTAAATTAAATTAAAAGGTACAATTATATTACCTAGAATCATCATCAAATTCAATCAGCTTTTTGAACTTTTCAAAGCACTCTCCAACCTTTTGCTCCAAATTCATCTGGAAAATTTTTACAATAAAACTAGTAATAAAATTATTTATTAAATTATTTATAAAATAAGAATGAATTTTAAATAAAATAAAAATAAAAAACCAATCTCCACATCTCTACAAATCAGTCACTAACTAACTTGTTCACTGAGAGTGTCAGTGTCATAGCTTTCACTTTTGCATCTAAATCGTTTCGTGTTTTCAGAAATACTTCTAAGATCGGCCATCACAATAATTTATTAGTAGAAGAACGAGATTAGTGATTTATTGGGGATGAGATGAACCAGACTGAAGTGAAGGAAACTGAACTTAATCTATGATCGGATTGAAAATCTGGCATCAAAAAGTAAATTTAAATATCAAATTTTTAAATATACATTTATAATTTGCATGAAAATAAAGTTATAAGTATTAAATTTATAAAATTATGCCCCAAAAATCACTTTTTTTATATAAATAGCGATCGAAAATTTTAGCGCACGCTCTGCAAAACACTAAGCAGCACATATAGAAAAATTAAGAAATTTAAATGTGAATTTATGTTTTAATTTCCAAATTGTTAATATCAATTAATTAAAACACTAATATGGCACATAATATACCTGGAACAAAACATAAACGTGCATATCATCTGTCTAAAATATGATTAGTCTTCATTTTAATAAGTTTTAAACTATCTTGATTAAACTATTTTTTAGTTCTTACGTTAAGACAACTTTTTCATGGACTACTGAATGTTGAATGACAACTCCTTTGTGATAGTAATTTTGTTACTATTATAGTATTTTTACACACGATTATTGCTGTTGATTTTATCAAAATACTGATATATAATGCAAGGATATTTTGTGGTATGCATATGCAAATTGCATGTCTGCAGATCATCCTTGGGAAGTATAAAATATTCCATTAACAACTTTGTCCAACAAACAAAAACAAACTCGGCAGTGAATTAGAAATTTATTTACATTAAAAATAGACTAAAAATATTAATGAAACAAAATCAAATTTTGACGTTAAAAGAAGCCCCACAGGAGCAGCCATTTTCGGCTTGTGGGTTGTTGACGACGTGGAAAGCTGACCTTATTAGCTCGTGGTGGTAGTCAATCGAAGAACCTTTGATAAACTCCAAAGACTCCTTATCAATCACGACCTTTGCGCCATCTTTTTCAAAAATTCTTTCCGGGGAATAGTTTTTGAATATAAAAATTCATCTCTTTATCAATAATTTTTTTTAATATTATGTGAGAATGTTTTATTAACATTGAAATAGATTTAAAAAATACTGCATTGATCTACCTAAATTGTAATCTGTTATGTTAAATAAACAGTTTTTGATAAAATTTGACTAACAGTTCTCAATGAAATGAGAAAAGTTTCAAAAGTATACAAAACTTAACTTTAAAACTTTAGATTCTGGATAAATTGAAATAGGAAAAGTGATTGCAAAGAGTCAAACAAAAAGACATTTAGATACAAAAACTTAATTTTAGAATAAAAAGAAGCACTCTAATTAGCTAACTTATCATCTTCATTTATAGCAGTTTCCAATGTAAACTTATATTGAAATCCTGAACACCCCCCACTATCGATTTGGACTCTCAAATAGGATTTGTTATCTGCTATCTTGTTCAGTTGCTGAAGTAAAAATTAGTTAATAGTCCATGAAAATGAATTAAATGTTTTAGATATATTATCATGCAATTATACATATTATTATAATTATGAAAACTTATATTTTCATTTGTCAAATAAATAAACTCTACAGTTAGTAGCTTTTGGTTAGTATTATAACAAAACTTCTATTACTTTTCATTTAAACTGCAATTGGGAATATTATTTTTCTATTCTATTACTATTCGTTTAAACTGCAATTGGGAATACTAAATTAAATTAGTAATTGAAAACTAATTAATTACTTTGACACAGCTATCTGTCAAAATTACGTTTTCTTTAATAGAAGGTTTCGTTGTACATTTTCTGTTGTTAATTACTGTCTTCAAACATCTAAAATCAATCATTTTAACTAAAAAATATAGAAATATTTGTTCCAATTAGCACTTATATATATATTATAATTATTAAAAATAAACAGTTATTAAATATTATTGAATAAATTATTAATATGAGATGAGGTATAAAATTATTAAAATTAGGATTACATCAGAATTAGAATTTTTTTAGATTTAGATTATTAGTTACATAATCAATCAAAAAAAACTTGAAAAGACATCAAATTTTAAATCAATCATTTGATTTGATTTGATAGTATAGCTATCTATAGTTTAGTTAGTCTTTACTCAAACTGAAAGTTAAAAAAAGTTCAATGAATGATGAATCATAATAAAAATTAAATATCGTTTTTTTCAAGTCAAATTTTAAAAATTGCAAAATAAATAATCTAACTTTTGACGAGTAGTCACCAGTAGACCGTTGCCGAAAAATCTGATAAATTTATTGAAAACCAAGTTACTGAACATTTTTATTTCAAAATATCACTCCGAAAAAAATTTAAAAGCCAATCTCGACGCAAATTCGGTTTTTAAAAAGGGTTGGTGCGTTTATCGTATTCGACCGACAACTAACGATTCTTACTCAACAATTAAACACCGGACACAATAAAGTTTTTTTAATACATTCTTGAAAATTTGTATTATATTTATAGGAGAAAGTTAAAAGTACCGCCAAACTACAGCTAAGGCTATCAAAAATACTCAAAACATTTCAAAAATTAGTATTTTATTTAAATTTTTTTAACAAAACAAATGAAAACGCTCAAACTAAAAAATTGTCAACTTATTCCAACTTTAACTGATCAACTTCGCGACTATTTCTTCTCCGTATCAAAGTAACTTAAGAAAAGAATCTAAGATGTTGGGTAAGACAATAGACATTGCGAGTAACTTAACATCAAAAACAATAATTACTATTAATAATCCTAAGTTGAAATGGACAACGTTCATATATTCATCGTAAAAAGGAAGAGTCTTTATTTTTTTTGGTTTCTAAATTATTTGACGTAATTTTCGTTCTTTCGTAATATGACAAATCCTTCCATCACAGGCGTCATCGAGATATCTAAAAAATTTAAAAGAAAATGTACGCTTATGAAGATTAAGTAAAAAATACAATCAATAAAATTCAAAAAATGAGAAAATCAATAAATAAAATAAAATAAAATGATGAAACAGACATTCATCAGTGGCCAATTCAGCCCTCTCTCCGTAAGCCAAGAGAACAGGGGTCGTGTGTGTTTGGAAGCCTGTAATGGTCTTCGGGTTGCCTGCCTGCCCGACAACATCCACAGCCTGAAACATAATTTTTATTTATTTACTCTTCATACATCAATCTGATTTACTGAATAATTTGACGTAATTTTTATATTTTTCTTAGATTTTTTTTACAAATTCTTTTCTAACAATTGTTGTTTCCTTTTGTATTTCATTCACATCCAAGTTAAACTTTTGCATAGCGAAAGCTGTAGCACCCATACCAAGCGAGCTACGTGCACATTTTTATGTACACACAAGCATACAAAATGCGTACAGATGCACATGTATGTATAGCACAAGCTATAAACTGGATAGCATATGGCACAGGCGACAAGGGCAATAGCAACAACGCGAGATATGGCAAAATAAAATTATGAATTCGCCGAAAATAAAATTAAAAAAAAAAATAATAAAAACGAAACAAATAATAATGAAAAAAATCTACAACCTGTCCAACTCTGACAGACACGGGCAGTGGATTGAAGTCAACATCAAATGTGACCAACATTCTCGGATGAATGGCAGTTACCAGGGTATATATCAGGTAGTGGGACTTACTGAGGATAACTAAAGAGAAAAGGTTCATAATAAATTAATTGGCTATCATATTTATTTTCTAGTTTTAATAAATAAAATGAGCCGTTATTAAATGAATTTCAACTTAAACAGCCAAAACAAAAATTAAATACGTACTATTTTTAACATCCAAGCAGGCTACTAGAAACGACATGAGGCCAGCGACGGCCACTGGGTTCATAATCTGCCTGTCCCACTGATATGGACACAGCGTTAGGGTACCTTAGTCCGGTGAAAAAATGAAAAAAATGAGAATTTAAATAAACCTCCCACAGCAAGATGGTTCAATAGCTACTGGTGCCTGCCACTTATGTTTAGTGTTAGTTACCAGGTTCGATTTCAAGGAAGATTCCTCGACTATCGTATGTACATATCAACGAGCGTGACGTGTAATATGTGTTAATTAACATGTACTGTAGTATGTGTGTGTATATGTCTACATATGACGTTGATGGCTCTAAGTAATGCAATAAGAACCATTAAAGGTCATTACCTTAATCATCAAAGGTCATAAAGGTCATTAAAATAATTTTCCTCAATCCAAAAGTTACCTTTTCCTAAATGAGTTAGCCCCTGAGCTATACGTATGCAGAAGAGATTGTTGGAGTCTTTGGAGTGATAGACTGCCAACTGCCTAAGCATCGTGGCCAGTCTGGCATTGTTCGTACCTGTGGTATTTGTTCAACGTGCATGCATGCATGCATACATACACATGCATACAACACACATGCATGCATACATACATGCACATACATACGAATGAATGAACGAATGAAAAGAAATAGTTACAAAAACGAAATAGTTGAATATTAACAGCATTATTATTTTCTTAATTTGAAGAAATTTGTGAAATTCCTAAATTAACAGTACAGTTTACAGCTAATACACCATCTGAATAACTTACTAGTATGAAACTACATTGAGAAGTAATAGGAAAAAAAGCAGATATACACCCTTAAACAAGCAACAGGACAGACAGAAAATAAATTAAACCAAAATTTATAGCACAAAAACAACAAAGAACAAACATAACTCATAAAAAAAAACCTACCGGCCCCAACCAAGCCCATAGCTAGGATGGCGTTATGGGCAACCTCGGGGTCGCTGTCATGACTGAACTTACTGAGGACATCAATGACTTGAAGTTTGGGATTGGATACTGAGATTAGGGCAAGGGCTAAGGGAACGGCCCTCTTAATCACTGGCTCTCCATACCTAAGCTAAATATGAAAGAAAAAACCAAATAATAGAACGAATAAATATACACATATCTCTTCTGCTTCCCTTTTCTCTGTCTCTCTTTCGTTCTCTCCTCTATATGTCTCTCTCTCTCTCTCTCTCTCTCTCTCTCTCTCTCTCCTCTCCCTCTCAAGGACACAGCCGAAATAACTCACCAGATGTCCAAACATTCTGAACGACATGTCGACACCAATGTCCTCACCCATCGCAATCAAGGCAATGCCAAGCACTGAGATTGCTAGAATGTACGATGAATGAATGGATGAATGAATGAACAAACGAACGAACGAATGTACAACTAGTAAAATTCAGAGATATAAAATGGAAAGATACAAACGCCTAGATTTTTACGATGTATAGTCATATTCTACCTTGCTGTGTTAAGACATTACTACTGGCTTCCTTATCTTTGGCACTTTTATCCTTTCTGTTCTTATTTTTTTCGTCTTTTTTGGGCTCCTGGTTTTCCTGACAAGAAAATTAAATAATAATAATAATAAACAACAGCAATAACAATAACAATAATATTTAAGAACAATATTTATATTTAAAAATGAAATAATTTTTTCTAAACCTGCTCTTTTGCATCATAGTGCTCCGAACATGTGTGCAACAGCTTCTGGATTTTCAAGACATTGCCAGTTCCTATGTAACAATTAATAAATAAATAAATTAATTAATTAATTAACTAATTGACTAATTAAAATAACGGTAATGACAGATAACAATTTCACAATTAATTAAACCTTACTCTATTAACTAGAGGATATATTAACAATTATTAAAACAAATTATAAAAAATTGGTTTGTGGACATGTGTAATAAGGTAAAATTTCAAAAACAGGTCACGCAGCAATATACACGTATCCAAAAACGACAACCACCCAATGACAACATGCATCGAAAGAACTCACCAGCGTAGGCACAGATGTCAACCATCGTGATGGCAAAATTTTTGAACGGCTGATTGAAAACTTCCAAAGCTGCCAATGTGGCCTCGCAATCTTGCTGGCAACCTTGTGTGGGTATAAATGGATATATGATATAAATAGACTTTTCTATAAAGAGAAGAAATGATATAAATAGACTGTTCTATAAATAGAAGAAATGATGTAAATAGACTGTTCTATAAATAGAAGAAATTGTATAAACAGAAACATGATTATTAAAAGAGGTGTGTCATAAATAGGATGAGCTATAAATAGAAACGTGCTATAAATAGATATACAATCAATTGTATAAACAAAAACATGATTATTAAAAGAGGTGTGTCATAAATAGGATGAGCTATAAATAGAAACGTGCTATAAATAGATTAAAAACACGATATCAATAGAATGCTATAAACAGAAAACATGCTATAAATAGAAACACGTTATAAATAGAAACATTCTTTAAAGAGAAACGCATTATAAATAGAAACATGCCAGTAGCAGTAGTAAAAGCAGTAAGTAGCAACAGTAATATCATCACACACAACATAACAAACTCACCTAGAAACAACAGTCCCAATCCGAGCGCCAGGAACCTGACGTAGGTGTCCTTCAGGTCCATCTCTCCACTCTCCATCAGCGTCTGAAGAATAGTGGAACAGATGGCGCCATTGCAGGTCCCCACTGCGATCATTCCACAGGCTAAAGAAGCCACGCCAATCACCTAATCAAAGTATTATTGGTTAATGATTAATTATATAATTTATATTGCAAATATTATTGAACAATTAATATTTTTAGTAGTAAAAGTATTATTTCCCCTTGTTACATTACTCTATAAGACACACATATATACCACACACTACTTAAATAAACAAATACATACAGCCAACCAAACACATTAAAAATCTCTCGATACACATACAAGTACATGTAAAACACAGAAAGAGAGAGTGAAAGAGAGAGCAAGAAAGAAAGAGAGAGAGAGAGAGAGAGAGAGAGAGAGAAAGTTCCCATACTTCAAGTGTGTTATTGCCATCCGTAAAGACCCTAAGCAGTATCTGAATGACATCTTCCCTATTGGAGCCAGAGTAGGCCAGGCCCAGACTGAAAAATAAAAATAAAACAAAACATTTAATGGAATTCTAAGACATCATCTCAGGATGGCAAATTGTAAAACAAAAATTAAAATATTTCATAATATAAGTACATAATGTATACGCTTATGTGTATATGTCATCAGCTAATGTACATGTAGAGATATAAAAGCAGTTAGCCTGGATAAATGAGTGTCTCGAGACCAAAATGTATGAAAAATATATGACAAAAATATTACTAGCACAATGGCTGGAAATGTTTTTTGTTAAATGAAACATAACAAATAGCAACAGAGCACTATAAAACAAAGCAATATAACACAAACACACAACATGAATACTTATAAATAGATACACAAACACCACTGAAAAATACACAAATGTTTAAATATATTTAAGTTTTTAGTTAAAATAGTTAAAAAAATAGTTAAAAAAAATAGAATAGTTAAAAAAAATTCACCCAAGTATGGAACCAATCTTCATAAAATGTGACGAGTGCTTAACGTAATCAGACAGAAGTGCCAGCGCTGGGTCGCACTCATTCTTAACTCCTGTGTTAACGATACCACAGCCCAACAGACAGCCGGCCTAAAAATTAACATAATATATGTACATGGTAATATCTAGGCACCAATAAAATGAACATAATTTATGTTGGTGTGCATTAATGATCATTCAAAAAACGATATTTCACACAAATTTCTACAAATAACTCTTTAATATTACCGGATACTTAACTGTTCAGCCATTAAATAAATAGGTAGCTAAATTAATAGGTCACAAAACTAATTGGTCACTAGGTTAATTAAGTACTAATAACTAAAATTATAATTATAGTTAACCTTAATGGGGTCCTCCTTAGAATAGAGATACTTATCGAGTTGTGCCAAGCCACCGTCAATATCCCAAAGTAAGATGAGGCCCAGAGAAGCTGCTGCACTGAACATTCCTGATGATGATGTAGTAATGATGATTGTGATAGCGAGAATGATGACAATGATTGTAATCATTATGACAAAGCAACAAATAACCAACCAGCTTGCCAGCCAACCAAACAAAAAAACAAACAAAACCAACCATGATCCTTGTTCTTATAGAACCAGCTGTTGGCGTCATCAGCAAGTAGCTTATCCTTACCAAAGCCAGCATTCACGAATCCATTAACAAATGATGCCGATAAATTCTGCCTAGCTGAGTCCACGTGACCAGCACCCAATGTGGGTCCTTAAAGAAAGGAGGGGTTAGCGGTGATATTGGGACAAATATTTATTACCATGAGGTAATAACTCAGTAATTTGTTTTGCTTATTCCAGATTTTTTAAAAATGGTTTTCACATTACAACCAAGAACTTTTGTATACAGATTTGGTGTTGTGGTGAGAAAGCTGCCAATCAATTTGAAATCAGAATTTAAATTGAGATTGTATTAAATTTAGCCTTCATCATAATAAAAATATCTAAACCTCTGCAATATATACTTTGAGCAAATGATAATTAATGCATAGTAATAATGTGTGCTTCTAACTTGAAGGTTCCAAATGAGATTTATAAATGTCTTCTGGAATTTTTGGCTCCATAATATCCAACTTGAAGAAATAACAATGGATATTTATTTTAAACTTATAATATGATAATTATTGTTATTGAAATGTAATTGCAATAATTTTTACTAAATTAAAAAATTAATAGCACTAATCCAAGCAACCTCTCTAGCCAGATTAAGAAACTGGACATTGAGATGCACATTTCTCATGAGCTCTGTCTGCTCCACGTCTTCTTCGGCACCATCCACTTCGAAGAATATTTGCTGCTGCCCCAGAATGCAGGCCATCTGCTTCAGTACTGCCCTGTTGTGGAGTTGCATTAAAAATTTGTGAGCCCAAAAAGTTTCCAGTATAAAATGATAGTGCACTTTTTCTAAACAAGCTTACACTAAATGAACTTACAATAAACAAACTCGTACCTGACACAAACTTATACTGAATAAAACTTGCATTTAAACAAACATGTACCAAATTAGAGATAAATAAAATTTTAAAAAAAGGGTAAATATACACCTCAATTTCCCTCTAACCCTCCATCAAAAATCCCCCCAAAAAACTTACGGATCCTTGCAGTCGGCATAAAGACTCTTGACGACAGTCAGATCATTGAGTTGTATGGCAATCAGCAGTGCGTCTGAGAACTGTTCAAACTTCCTATATATGCCCAGAGTGGTCTTCAGTAAGTTTATGTTTTCTGGATCAGGTACATAGGGGACACAGCTGTTTGTGGGCGAATAACAAAAATTAGTTATAAAAAAATTTATGCATGTACATCTGAGTGTGTGTTTTTGTATACATAAATGCATTATATTTTATAATCATTACTAATCAACTATTATTATTATTAATATAATTATTACTAATTTCTGAATCCTGCCAAAAAAAATGAATAAAAATCGCCAAATAACCTCTTCAGATAGAGGCAGACTCTGGGAAAAGCAGCCTTATCGACGTACTGTTCCAAGAGATGGAGTAACTCGACTTCCATCAGGATGTCACAGGCCTCTGGCTCAGCATTGTGTTGCATCAGGTATGGAATTATGTCGTGGATTAAACCTTTCAGGACCTTTAGGAATGAGGGAAAAAAATTTGAAACCTGAGCATTACAATTATATCTGATTAATTAATTATTAATTAATAATTCTAATTATAATTCATTTTGGGCATGCATCAAAGACAAAAGAGTCCCAAGAAGACTGTCAGATTACTATAACTATTACTACTACTACTGCTACTACTACTACTGCTACCACTACTCACTTCTCTCTTTTCATTACAATCAGCTTGGTCCTCACAGTCCTGCCATTGTTGAACTATTTCCCCAGAGAGGTGCCTATTTAGAAGAAACATACTTGCATTATATACATAAGGTAGTAATCAAGACAATCACTCAATCAATCAACCAATCAGTCAACAAGCCAATCAATCAACAACCTAAGCTTTGCTCTGACCAAACCCTGACCCTAACCTGACGTATTCATGCCCCCAAGAGCCAATGTGTTCGAGGCTGCCAAGCAATCGAAAGTGCAGGCACTCCCTCTTGTCACTCATGGTCATGCTTAGAACTGACAAGACGTCAGCACAAAATCTCTATGGTCAGACAGATTCGATAATTTCAATTTCATTTTATAGATCATTTAGCAGTAAATCAATCATGAGAGAACTAGAGGAAAAGAAATGGAAAGATACTATATGGAAAAAAACAAGAAAGAAAAGAGAGAAAGAGAGAGAACAACATAAAAAGTGAGAGAAAGAACATTTAAAAATAGAAAAGCAATAAAATCACGAACGAAAAAACCACTACATTGGTCACTAACTTTGGTTTCATTATTAACAATCTTATCATAAACACTTTTCAATGTTTCAAAATGGGGTTTGAGAAATTTCAAAGGCTTTGGTACAGAAGTCATAGATGTGGTAGAGGATCTGATTAGTGTTCTTAGGCTTTCTAATGATGCTCTGTATAGGCTTTGATCTGGTTCCTATTTAAGAATGTGTACGTGTGTGTGTGTGAGTGTGACTAGGTTACAATACTCAATGATAAGTCTGACTGACACTTGTCACAGTAATTTACAGATATAATTATTAAATTTTTTGAATCCATAAGATTAATCAATAGCATAAAGAAATTTTCATAAATTAATTTATTGATTTCATTTATATTCTATGCTAAAACAACTAAATCTGAGTTTGACTGAATGTAATTTACATAGAGATACGATCCAATCTAATTTTTCAATTATGTAAAATTTATTTTTGTCAAAAACACTAAATTTTTACAAATTAAATTCTTATTTTTATCAAAAATAAAAAATTTATTTACAGTCAATCTTTCTACTAGCATGTTCAGTTCTTCAATGAGTTGCTTGTCCTCTTCTGTCTGTAATTTGGAATTAGCATTTATTTATTATTTACTATTATAAATAATTGGTAAATTAGTTGTTATTACTAATAAATATTAACTTAATTATAGTGAAAATCAAACTAAACTTCAAACAAAATTAATTTATTTTATAAAAAAGATTTAGCATAGTAATTTATCAATTAGTAGTAGAAAAACTGTCAGATTAAAACATTAACATAACAAAGATTAAACCATTAAATAAAATTGAATTTTAAATTTATTAAACAATAAAATAAACAATTGATTAATAAATTTAATATTAATTATTAAAACTTTAAAAGATTTTAAAATTTATTGAAATTTTAAATATAAAAATTATTGACTCTAGCTAATACATCAAATAAATCATAAATAAAATTTAAATTTTTAAACTTTAAGCAATGTTAATTTAAATTTTTAAACATGAAACAAACATACATGACTTGCACTAATTTTTAAATCTAAAAAACATAATAAAAATTCAAACTAACAAGATCCTGTTCCTTAACTTCACCAGTTTTTTTTTCTTTTTCGTCACTCTTGACGCCATCTTTTTCGTTTATTTTATTCTCTTTAGCGGCAGGCGATTCTTTCGTGTCGGCCATTTTTAATGTTTTACTTTATTTACAGTAGAGAAAGATGGTTACGAAAACAGAGTTGAACAGTTTAATTACCGACAAAAAAGTGATCGTCTGCAATGTCGGTTTTGTCGGGTTTTTCGTATATGTTATAAAAGCGTATTCGTGCATTTGACTAAATAAATTGATGAATAAATTTGTCATTTCTAGCATTTTAATGTTAGAAAGGAGTTTTTTTTTAACTCTGAGCCCAGTGCAAGTTTTTGTTTTATGGAGAATATAAAGGAAATTTTAAAAATTTAAATATATATGAAAAAGTATTCAATGGCAATGTTTGCTATGTAGTACAAGCTTGATGTTTTTATAGATGTTGCTGTTTTGTTTGAAGCACGAGAAAAGAAAATTCAAACAAAATTTCATTAATTTATATTTTTTTACAGTTCTCCAAACTGTATGGCATCTTTCGAGAAAATTTTTTTTTCAATATTAATATCTAAATTGAATTTCTTGCCTCCAGACTATTTTTTCACCATTAATCTCCTCTTTCATGTTTTTATTTAATATTCATCAAGAGAAAAAATATATAAACACAAAAAGTTTAACAGATGGTGTCGGTTTGATGGAGTGTTTGTTAAAAGGGCATAGTCCAGCGCACAGTTACGTTGTTCGAATGCAAACAAAACCACGTTATAATATGCACTGTGTGTGGTGCGTGCGTGATTTCAGCGTGCTAATTTCACGCAAATCTGAATGATATTATTATAACAATTATATTATTATATAATTAATATTCGAAATTAATAGAATATCCTCAAGGCATGCGTTGGTGTAAGTAATGAAAAATTAAAATTCTGATTTCCAATCTGGTATCGAGTACTCAAACTCCCAACATTAAAGCAGCATATACACAAAACCCTTTCGTTGGCAAAATCGAAGAAACCGAGTCACAAAAATATATTTTGTGTCTCTTTTAAAAAGCGAAAAAACAATTTTGCTGTCACTTCTTTTATATTCAAATATATACAGGTTAAACTGTCTCGTCATCCATTAAGTTGAAATCGTCTTTAAAGGTGTTTGTTTTGTGACGTTTATATGCATGCGTAATGATGTAGTTTACCTCTTCTCTATTTGTCTTTCAGTCTCACATTTTTCGCTATCTTTCTCTCTATCACCCTTTCTTTTTTTCTCATATTATTTGATTTCTCTCTCTCTCACTCTCTCTCTCTCGCTCTCTTCTCTCTCTCTCTCTCTCTCTCTTTACTCCTCAATTTTCTTTTCCCTTTCTTTCTCATTTATTTTTTTTCTCCTTTTTTACCCATTTCATTCTCTCTTTCTCTCATTTACTCTCATTCTGTTTCTCTTTTTGCCTTTCTTTTCTCTCCTTTTTCTCTCTTCTCTCTCTCTCTTCTCTCTCTCTTTTTCTCTCTCACTGGCTTGCGTTGGCGTCTACACAACCGACAATTTATAAAGTCGCGCACTGTTTCATTGGTTTCGCAGCAATTTTGAGGTTCATTTAATTTGCTATTTGAAAATTCTTTTTCAAATAAAACTAATTAATTATAATAATTAATTCATCGATAATATCAATTCGTTACTCCCTGATTGCTGCAAGTGTACGTCAGTTTTTTTTTTGTTCATTCGTTTGGTCTCTTTTAGAATTAATAAATAAAAAATTATTAATAATAATAATTAATAATAATAATATCAGTAATAACAAATATCATAATAACTCTTTAAAAGTTCAAAAAATATTTCCCACACATTGAAAACAGAACCCCCAGACGATCCAAACCAAACAGCAATCAACACCAACCATGCACATGAAATGCAAGGCCCTGATGATGATGGCAGTGGTGTTGGTGGCGGTCGGCCCTCCCTCTTCATGGTGGTCCGGAGGGTTCGTAGCGGGCAGGCCCCAGATGAAGATGATGGACCTCTGCATCCTTACGTGCGACCGCTGTTTCCACGAAGATGTCGGTTACGTTCCGATATTTTTTCGTCTCGGTATTTTTTGTTTCGAGATTTTTTCACGAGATTTATTTATTTTTGTATTTTTCTTGAAGGTGTTGTTTGTTTTGTTTTTTATGAGAAAAATTTGGCTGGTTAGATTAGGATTGTTGCAGTAGCTGAGCTCAAAAGCATCTATCAATATCGTCTTTCAAAAATCATATGAGTTAAGGCGTTGTAAATAAATTTCCGTGTTTTTCACATTCACCCCCAGCAGCCTGTATTTTTTTTGATGAGAAATTCTACAGAGAGAGATTTGTAAAAACAACTCGTTAACCTATGAGACCAGTGAGTATACACGCTCATTACGCTCCATACCACATGCGATTAAACAGGTTCCTACTGATGTGTCAGGTTTATATATGATGTAATAAATAATGTAATTTGCATATATTCAGTAACAGATCTAGACAACTTTGAGGGTTAGGGTTAAAATTTTGTTAAAAAGGGTTAAAAATCAAAATTTTGAAGATATTTAAATTTTAACTGAGAGTAGGGCAAGATTTGTGGTAGAGTGTGGCTGACGTCACTTTTTTTGTTCGATTTTATAGATAAAACGGTCTTTTTTCTGACTTTTATTAAAAATTTTACATTTAAAATTTTGCGTTATTGTCCCGGCTTGCATTTGAAGCAAGTCTCTGCTAGTTGAATGAATGTAAAAACATTTCTTTCCAAATTTTTGACTGATTTCTATGCTTTTATATTAACTTTTTTAATTATTTTTAGATTAAGTATACTGATGATATAATTGCATGTTGGATGTCGGTCTTTGATTGACGCGTCTGACGTAGAAACCAACTTATGAGAAAATTTTTTGGGTAATGAAAAATTTTCTTGGAGGCCAAAAAATGCATGAATAAATTGGTTTGTAGTTTTAAAAATTAACTGAACTTTCTAATGGATATGTATGTACGTGCGTATAATTCACTGTTACCGACTTGTGTATAAAAGTTTTTTTTAGCAACGAAAATTGAGTGAAAATTAAAAAGCAAGCAGTGCAACTCAGAATTAAAATGCACTTGAAATCTTTTTTAAAATTAAAACCGATTTGACTGCCGGCGTAGAAAGTGCAAAAACTGAAAACTAATCAATCACATTCTCTCGTTAGTTAAGTTCTTCCGAGCAGCGGCTATTTTCTGACATGAAAAAAATTATCACAAAATCAAAATGAACAATTATTTGTAAAGGTGTACAATTTTCAAACTGAATCATCACGCACACATTATTTAGTTATGTTAAGCAGTTATTTAAAAAATCTTCATATTTGGGTGGCAAGTTGAGGGGGTGGTTAAAGAGGCTGGCCCTGCCCTGGCAGAAAGGTCCCTACATGTTACATAACAAAAATTATTTATATTGATCCAAGTATTGAAGACTGAGTCCGTGACAGGACCACTGTAAGACTTTTTTTAATATCCTAATTTTGCCAAGTTTGCTTTAAAGTTGTTAGTTGTTTCTGCGCATGTTGTTCCAGTTTGTTGCACTAGTTGACAACTCTGCAGCTGAAAAATGTTTGCTTTATCGATCCAGAGCTTTTTTTTAAAAATGTTATTAATTAAGTCATCTTCACCAACTGAATAAATATTAAGGCAGGGTATAAAATATTTGTCACTGTCATCAATTTCTAATTCGTAATTTGTTTTGAAATTTTGGTTTACAAAAAATTCACTGAATTGAAGATTTTAAAAAGAAGAATGCCGATTTCATTTGCCGTTCCTACTGAACCATAATTCTTGAGAGCTGCCGCTTCAATTAATTTGCTTAGTTTGAAAGTTTTTTAAAAGTTTGTTCCGAGGGTAAATGTAAGATCGTTTTCATGAATTTAACAAATTTAAACAAGAAAAAAAATACAGAAAAAAGATAAGTGATCGTCGATCGTCCGGTAGGTTGGAGAAAAAAAAATTGTCTTTTGCACGTGTTGGAGACGAAATAAATTATCAAAGTCTGCAAATTTTTTGGAAAAAAAATTTTTTTTTTAAATTTTTTTATAAAATGTTTCTTGCCCAGAGAAAAAGAGTTAGTTGGTGTGTTGTATATTTTCCTACTAGAAATTGACCGCAAAAATAATTTTTATAAAAAAAAATTAAAAATAATTTTTGACGACAACATAGCCGATTTATCAATTTGCACAATTTAAGAAGACCTTTCGCGAATTTTTACGAAAAATAAAATGTCGGTTATAATATTAGATGAAAACTCAAAATCAACACACACACAAACACACACACACACATACACACAAACACACACGTACATATATACGTACTTAATTAACTACTACTACCTACTTACCAAGCTATATACACATCCACTCCACACACACACATATACACACACTCACACACACACGCATACAAACACACACACGCACACACCTAAATATACTAATGACAAATTAATAGAAATGTTTAACGCACTTAATTTCAAAGTAGATTTATCAACCTTTTTTAACTTAATACAGGTGTAGTTTTTATTGCTATTATTGATGTTATTACTATTACTGTAGTTGTATTATTATTGTTGTTGTTATTGTTATCTATGACGTCATTATTATTGTTATTACTCTTATTGGTTATTCTTGGGTTGAATTTTTGTTAGAAAGATTAATTGTTCACGAAGACAAAAAGACGAGTGTTCATAATTGGTTGATGCATTATGCATGGACATGAAATAATTAATTATAACAATTATAATAATAATTACAAACAGTAATAATAATACTAATAGTAGAATGGGCGGCGTGTTGGCTCAATGGTCAATGGCGCCTGGTCTTGCTTCTGCAGTGACTGGGTTCGAATACAAAGAGATCCCCGCTTGTCATACGCAATGTGTATGATGCGTGGTTTGCACGCGTATTCCTATACGCTGTGTGTGTTTGTCGTTGAAACCTCTGAAGCAAACGCAAAAGAGAGAGAGAAACCTTTAACCTTTTAACCTTTATAGTAGTAGTATTTTTAGTAGTAATAGCAATAGCAGCAGTAGTGGTAGTAGTAGTATATTACTAGGAGTATTTGTAGTAGTAGTAGTAGTAGTAGTAGTAGTAGTAGTAGTAGTAGTGGCAACAGAAGAAGTAGTAGTAGTAGCAGCAGTAGTAATAGTCGTAGCAGCGGCAAGCCGTAGTGGCAGTAGAAGAAGTAGCAGTAGAAGCAATAATAATAATAAAATAACAATAATAATTATTATTGTAACGTAATTATGGCCGACTGGCAGTGCAATAAAATGGAAATAATTTCTGTCAAAATTTTTCCTGAGAAACATATGTCAAGTCAGATAAATCGGGCGTTAGTATTTTTTTATTTCTATGTTTTTCCATTTTTTCTCTACCTCGTTTGTTCATTATTGTATTATTTTTGTATTTATTTTGTTAACAATTCAAGAAAAACATTATGTTTAATAGTTTTTCGTATAGAACTTTTAACTTCATAATGGCAAGAATCATAGCTTGCTAAATTAAAATTAAAGGTAAGTAACGAAATTCTATTGAACTCTTTTGAATTGAGAACAAAAATATATAATAAAAGTAACGAAAAATGAATGAAAAGCAGAAGAATTTTAGCAAAAATGTAAAAAAAAACTAAGAAAAATAAGAAAAACTTCTGAACGAGAAATAATTGCCTGGCGTGTGGTGAGTCATAAACGCTATGTGTTCTATTCCTTTCTTGCACCTACGTATGCATATAGGAATTTTCCAAATTATTTTCTTGGCAAAACGTTTCATTAAGCTGTTTTTTTTCAGCTCGGAGGAAACTGCCTAACACGTCTTTATTTTTTTAATTAGTGGGTAGTGAATTCTCATCGTTTCAAGATTGCAACACCCAGGAAGAATTGTAATGTTGTATTGTTGTTGCTGCTGCGTGTTGGACAGTTTTGCATATAGAATAAAGTAGGGACTTAGCCAAGGGGATCCTTTGTCTTTGGGGATGAAGCCCCTCCCACAATGGAAAATTTTATTGTTTGGGTTGAGTTTAATTTTAACGAAATCTCTGTTTATTGAAAATTTGTCCAGTCTTCCTTACACATAGTAACGTTTGAATAATTAACAAAACAGACTATTTTTTAATTCACAAATTTTCAAAAATCTAGTCCTTCAAATTTTTGAACACACACACACACACACACACCACACACACACAAACATCACTTACTTAGTTAAGTTTTCACTAGCACTTGGCTGTGTGAACAAAATGGTTTGAAAAAAACACGTTTGAAGTTTAAAATTTTTGCAAAACTTCATTATAACAGTGACGATAATAGATATGCATCGTGCTATAATAATAATCATCTCTGAAATCGAACTAAACAACAGCAACGAACATTCAACTGTAACCCATTTAACTTTAACATTCGCAGCCTTGCTTGATATACAATATATAACCAACTGTAAGCCAAAAGCGAACGAAACATCACTAAAATAAATGTATTCTAATGACTGAAATTAAAATTTTAAATCCCGACAGGACGGCATCCTGATGGATTGCGTGAACCGCGTTTGTTTGGACATGAAGATGGATAGCCTGATGCTGAAGATGTGTCCCTCGCTAGCCCATCCATCTAAATTTATTGAGAGTCTGGACTTTGAGAATAAGCATTGATGCGGCGGAGAATAAGACATCTGGAATGATCGTCGCTAATTTGCCGGAATGGTCATCTATCTCTATATACAAATACTCATGTATTTTTATTTAGATTATCGTGTATTTTTATGAATATAAATGACATTTAATTATGCTTCACGTGCCATATTATAGCGAATGATTCCAGGAAAAGTTGACACTGACCTTTTTAGCTTACAAATTCGCTTCAAACTTTTTTTTACAATATATATTTAGTTAATTATAATTTGATATTAAAAATCTAGTTTTATAATAATTTTATAGCATTTGATGTTTGACGTAAATTGATGAACTCGTGCTAAGAAGCAAACGTTTAACGAGCTGCCCGTTGCCACATTCCAATGTTTCACAAGTGCTGGACGCAAAATTTGAAATTTTCTCAGCAAGAAAATCATTGATGAGATGGAAACATCGTCACACATGTATAACAATCAACACGGGCAAACATTATTTACTAGTGTAATAAAAACGAATTTTGAAAAGTTCTTCCTCTTACTCATGCCTTGTCCTTTCAGGACATTGGCGACCATCGACCTCCAAAAAACCCGATCGGAAACACTTTGTAGTAGTTGAATTGTGCATTATGTCAATTTTGTCATGAATTATAAATTAACTTGAACGGTGGCCTGCGACACAAGAATTTTGTTTTCTTGTAGCTTTGGTCTCCTAATCATTACCTAATTATTATTAATTTGGATTGATTGAATAAAATTTGATTTGAAATGTGGCGATATTCAACAAGCGACACGAAAGTTAACATTCCGTAATAATAATAATCAAATAAAAACATGACTTTAATATAAAAAAAAAACTACGAAAAATTGCGGACATTAAGACACTCAAATGAATAATCATATTAAAACACCTTAAAAAAATTAACCTAACAAAGATCATTATACTCATATTAATTAAAACACCATTCGTTCTGTCATTTAGTCATTCTGTAATACAGTCAAATATTATATTTGGATGAATTTTTTCTTGTTTAATAACGCTAGGGATATTAATTATTCTTACAAATATTAAATTATATCTAAATAGTTTAAATATAGAAGAGAGAGAAAGAGAGAGAGTGAAAGAGAGAGAGAGAGAAAAGATTAAAATGTTTTTTATCTTCATTTTATATTCATCTTTTCCTTTTAAAGACCCATCTATAAACAGCTGCAGAATCGACTGTTTCTTCTGCTACCTTCTTCTTTGGAACACTTTTATCCTGGTAAAATAATTAAACAAAAAAAAATATATACCAATACATTTAGAGAGTGAGTGAGAGAGAAAGAGAGAGGAGAGAAATAGAGAGAAGAAAAATAGAACGAGACTGATTGAAAAGTAAAGAAAGAAGCGAAGTAAAGATAGATAAGCATACATACATACAGAAATAGACTGACTCTAAGCCCCACACACATAGCATGCGATAGTTATGGATCTTTTTGCATTAGAACCCGGTCAGTGCAACAGCATGACCGGACACCTTAACCATTTCGCTATCTCGCACAGCACCAACATGTCAAAACGTACAATTAGGAGTTTTTTCATGCTCAGTTTGCTTTCAACTATGGCCAGTTGCTTCTCCCTCTCTATCCTCTTCACCAACTCACCATACTTTTTCTCTTTCTCTACGGTTGCCTCCTAAGAAATAATAAAAATAATAATAAACAAATAATAGAAATAATAATAATAATAAACAATAAGAAATAATAATGAACAACACATAATAATGAAATAGTAAGAATAATTAATATCCCTAGCGTTATTAAACAAGAAAAAATTCATCCAAATAATTCTATTCGTCTATTTTAAAACTGAAATAAATTTTTCAACTAAAAACAATGGGGTAAATAAATTATTTTGAAGTTATTATTAACAGATTAATAATTAGTTATATATTTAAAATTTTGAACAATTTTCAATCAGTTACAAATTATTTAACCATTAATAATAATAATAAAACTCATAACAATTGCGATTATTAATAAAAATAATAACAATATTATTAGTATAAGTTATATAAATTATGAACAGCTAACAGCCAATATCCTATCGTCAATTTGAAACTGCGATGAATTTTTCAACGTTTCAAGTGTTGGTCTGTTGTAAGATCTGTTCACCAGCTCAGGTAGAGTGTTGAAATATTTGGCTGGGTCAAATGTCTCCACTGATTAAAGAATTAATTAATTGACTAATTAATTAATTAGTTAAAAATTAATCACCTTGAGGTTAATTTATCATAAAATTATGACAAGATGAAAACATATACAAATGAATTAATTGATTTTTAAAGGATAGATATTCTGAAAAAATAAGCAAGTGAGTGAGAGTAAAAATCAACTAAACAAACAGAGAACAAACAGCAAAGAAGAAAAACCCACCTTCTCGTTTACTATCTAAAAATATGACATGCTCGTTCTTCGGTAAATAAGGAATGTCGAACAGCTGTAAAGAAGCTTTCAGTCTTTCAATTTTCTGTCAAAAATTTAAGTTTTTTGCAATAATAAACTTTACTTATAAATTAAATCCTATTGAGAAAATTTACAGAAGTTATTGAAAATCTTAATGAAAATAAAATATCTATGTAAAATGAAACAAAATCATGTTACCAAAAAGACAAAATATAGAAATAAATTAAATCAAGCACCTTCTTCTCAATGCTTCTTTTATGTTGTACATATTTGATGTCTTGGCTTTCCATAAGTTTCAATTGATCATCTGTATATGAAACTATTTTGTCATCTGCTTTGTGTTCGCCATCCTAAAAAAACAAACAGTTTGACTATAGAATCAACTAAAAAGATAGAATAAATATTTAGTCTGAATGAATCAGAACAAATAGCAGATTACGATGCATTCGCATAAATAAAACGATGAACGTAGAATAATAAAGCAAAGACCACCAAAGAATATAAAAATTTATTCTAAAAATAACTCACCACCAGCTTAGAGCGAACCATGTTGAAATAAAATTCATCTGGATTCTTGTCTAAGGCTTTTCTCTTCAGAAATTTCAATGTGTTCAATTTTTTGTGGTGTTCTCTGATGGGGCATAAAAATTGAAAATATGAAAATAAAATTTACTTTTAAATATATACTTATAATATAATTTATATAGTTTTAAAATAATTATTGATAACAACGATGATCATGATATGATATCAGCATACAATACTATAATACCAGTAATTTTAATAAATAAAAATATATACTCTACTCTAATAATAACAAAATAATAATATTTTCAATAATGATCATAAAAAAATAATGATGTTATCTATGTTAATTAAGTTAACTTTTTTTAACCTACTCTGTTCGCCTTTTATAATCTTTTTTCTTCTCTAAGAATCCCAAGTGCTCTCTAGATTTTAGCTAAATAAACAAAATTACAAATTTTAAATTATAAATTATCAAATATATTTCATTAATAATTAATTTTTTAATTTGTTTGCAAAAACAAAAATTAAAAAAAAATCAGGATCCCACAAAAAAATAAAAACAAAAAATTAATAAATACTTGAGATCTTTCGCGATGAACTTTTTGATAACTTTTAGCCGCATTTCGGAATGCAGTAGCCATTTTATTTTTACAAAAATTAGTGTGAAATAGTGAACAAAATAACAGTAAGACACGCGACGAATATTTACCAACAAAGAACGTAAACGACGGATAGGCTAGCAACGAAACGTTATTTATAAACAAAGTTTAAAAGTAAATTTAAGTTTTATATTTTCATGTATATATTATTCTAGTTATATGTATCAAACAGTATCTTATTGAACAAAATAGTATCATAAAATAAATAAAAATACTTTTTTCAAATATTTAAAAAATTCTGAATTTGATTTCATTGCGATACCGATGATGATGATTGTGACCTGACTAATTAAAAAACATCAAATAAAGAAAATTTTTAAAATAGGATGTAGAATTTGTTATATTGTGATATTCGTATGTAAAGCGAGCAAAATTTTAATATAAAAGCGCTTATAAATTTATGCATATTGGCTCAGCTTAGCTCGGCTTGGAATTGATGTTAAGCAAGGTGTGATCTCAAACAATTTGGAATTCTCCCAGAAAAATTTGAACTGCGTGCGCACATATGTAGCACTGATTATTGTTGCTTTTATAATAAATTTATATACTATATATATAAAGCGAGCAAAATTTTAATATAAAAGCGCTTATAAATCTATGCATATTGGCTCAGCTTGTCTCGGCTCGGCTTGGAATTGGATGTTAAGCTAGGTGTGGTCTCAAACTCTATTTAATCCATATATACAAATAATTAATAAGATTATATTTTTATATAAAAAGCAATATTGCAGATTCAACCAGCCAATCAGAAAGTTTCGAACGTTCGATGACGTCAATTTAGTACGGTTAGCATTGTGCTTAGGACTGTTTAATAGTGTAGTACATACATTAAATAAGTTTTGTACTGATGTGAATGATTGAAATTATGAAAATGTATGGTTGAAGCGAGTATAAATAGGAGCTGAGACAACATTAAAATCAGATCAGGCATTCTGCTTCGCCTGAAGCAGTCTGTCTGATCTCATTTATTTTATTTTTTATTTATTTTATTGTATAGAGTTATATAGAGTTTGAATATCTGTGGTGTGTGTGTATGTTGTATTTTTTTATATTTTAGGTGGGTTCTTTAGCGGTTGCACATACATACATACATACATCATGTTTGTTTGTGTGGTAGTATTTTATGTTCTGTTTTACTCCTTTTTCTCTTCCTTCATGAGTCTTAAGTTAAGTTAATGAAACATAGGTAGGTGAGATTAAAACTTAATTTATTATATAGGTAGGCTAGGGCATAAGGTAATTTAGTTACATAGGTAGGTTAGGGACTTCTATTCTTTTACTCTACTTAGTGCTGTGTTTTTTGTTTTGTGTTTTTTTTGTTTTGTTTCACACAATACATTAAAAGGTACGCGGTGGTTCCTGGTTTTAGTGATATTTTTATTGATTGAATGTGATAGTATGTATGGTTATATAGAGTTATATAGAGTTATATAGAGTTATATAGAGTTATATAGAGTTATATAGAGTTATATAGAGTTATATAGAGTTATATAGAGTTATATAGAGTTATATAGAGTTATATAGAGTTATATAGAGTTATATAGAGTTATATAGAGTTATATAGAGTTATATAGAGTTATATAGAGTTATATAGAGTTATATAGAGTTATATAGAGTTATATAGAGTTATATAGAGTTATATAGAGTTATATAGAGTTATATAGAGTTATATAGAGTTATATAGAGTTATATAGAGTTATATAGAGTTATATAGAGTTATATAGAGTTATATAGAGTTATATAGAGTTATATAGAGTTATATAGAGTTATATAGAGTTATATAGAGTTATATAGAGTTATATAGAGTTATATAGAGTTATATAGAGTTATATAGAGTTATATAGAGTTATATAGAGTTATATAGAGTTATATAGAGTTATATAGAGTTATATAGAGTTATATAGAGTTATATAGAGTTATATAGAGTTATATAGAGTTATATAGAGTTATATAGAGTTATATAGAGTTATATAGAGTTATATAGAGTTATATAGAGTTATATAGAGTTATATAGAGTATAAATCCTATATAGATACCTTTCTTTGAGGTTCTTTTCTTTACCGACCGGTCGGCTTCTTTGCTTTTCTCTATTTTCATTTAAATTAATTGTATAAATAAGACTTTTCCATCCATTTAGGTTCATTCAGGTTCATTCATTCAGGTTGAAGCTTCTAGAGGAGTTCATGGAAGATCAGAATGGTTGTGATGTCACGCTACGTTCGTTCATTCAGTGTCAAAGAATGCACGCCTGGCTGGGGTTCGTTTTACGGTTTCTTTGCGGTTTCTCTTTTTGCCAATTGGCTGGCTTTTCCGGCTGGCGGATTTCACCGCGGCTCGTTTCTCTATTTTCATTTAAATTAAATAAATGAGATTTTTTCGTTTCATTCATTTTATTCAGGTTGAAGCTTCCAGAGGAGTTCATCATCGAGGATGTCAGGCTACGTTCGTTCATTCAGTGGCAAAGAATACACGCCTGGCTGGGATACGTTTTATTCTTTTTTCTCTGTAATTTAACTAAGAATGCTCACACGCACACACACGCACACACAATTACATTAAGTAGCTATATAGGTAGGTTAGATAGGCATAATTTTAATTGTAGGTAGGATAGATAGGAAGTATCCAACACTAATGTAGTTGTATAGGTAGGCGCGTAAGTTTATCGCTTCTATTTTGTTCTTGCACCCACATTACACGCATCAGCGTATTACCCACACACAAATACATACATAAACACATATGTTAGTATTTGAGCGTAATTTTATTTTCATTACACATTCTAATTTATTATTACTAAGGCTGAGAGTAATTTAATTTCATAGGTAGTTAAGGGCAATAATGTAATTCTAGGAACAATCTTGTAATGTAAATTAAAACGCTGTAAGTGTATCGATAGGTAGGTTAATTATTAATTTTTACATTATTATTATTATGTCGGAGCCCAAGGCATTCCGTAGGTGGTGGGGTGGGTGCCGAAAGGCCAATGAATTGGGCTCTTGAGTTTTGTAATTTTAGGTAAGCTAGGGCCATAATGTAATGAATAGGTAAGTTAAGGCTACGTTGTAACACATACTCATTAATAGATTTAGGGTTTAAGTTTTATATTATTATTACTAAGTTGGAGCCCAAGGCATTACGTAGGTGGTGGGGTGGGTGCCGATTGGCCAATGAATTGGGCTCTTGAGTTTTGTAATTTTTAGGTAAGCTAGGGCTTAATTTTAATGAATAGGTAAGTTGAGGGTACGATAGCCGATAGACTCTGAATTTTGAAGTCTGTTGTCAGAGGTAAGCCTTGGTGGCCAGTGGTGAACCGGCAATGGTTTACTATCCGGACGGCAATGGTTTACTATCTGCACGGTAATGATTTACTATGCGGCATGGCCATAGTCTACTACCCGCACGGCTTCCGGACGGCAAATGGTTTACTATCCGCACGGCAATAGTCTACTATCCGCACGGCAATGGTTTTCTATCCGGTGCCCTGGCTGTCGGTGAACCTCTGTGCAAGGAGGGAGAATGAAGGGGGACTTTCGACTATCGTACCATTAACAATTTTATATAGATTAGTTAAGGTAATTGAATAGGTAGATAGGATTATTTTTATTTAGTAAGCAATTTGAGATGCAGGCACCGCTAAGCTTTCTGATGAGAATTTTCTCTTTCTCCATTCCACGGGCTGTGTTTCAACAACAATCTCGAGGAGGACTGGCACCAGTTTTGGAGGACAACGTAGGAACCGGAAAGCATTCATCATTCTGCCTTTGTGGAATGGACGACGGTAAGTTTTTTTTACATTTTACTCTTTATTGTTTTAAAATATTATTTATTTGCCATTATTTTCATTTTATAATTTTTTGCTTCTAAGATTCTAATATTCATTTAATACTACGCTAATAAAAAAAATTGTCTACAGAATGATGAGAGGTGGGCAGTGGTGGGAGTCAGCATGTTTTAAATGGTGGTCTCATGATGGTGGTGTAGGAAGAATCAGCTCGTTGGCTGTTCGACTGATACTCTGAAGTTCGGATGACATCTTGTGTGCCGACCAGATGGTGGTGGTCGGTGCAATGGATTGAAATAACGAAGATTTTTGAAATAAGGTTTAGTTTCTTTTTTTTTATTTTTCTCATTCATTCATTTTCTCACTCAATCTTTCAAATTATTCATCCATTAATTGATTCATTATGTTCATCCGTTAATTCATTGATTGATTGATTAATTAATTAATTCATTTGTTTGTTCCTTCGTTCGAACATTCATTTACTACTACGCTAATAAAAAATTTTGTCTACAGAATGATGAGAGGTGGGCAGTGGTGGGCGTCAGCACATTTCAGATGGTGGACTCATGATGATTTACGTATGATGATGGTGGTGTAGGAAGAATCAGCTCGTTGGCTGTTCGACTAATACTCTGAAGTTCGGATGACATCTTGTGTGCCGACCAGATGGTGGTGGTCGGTGCAATGGATTACAGTAACGACAATTTTTGAAATAAGGTTTAGTTTCGTTTTTTATTTTCTCATTTTTTCATTTTATCACTCAACCTTTTAAATTATTCTTCCATTAATTGATTCGTTAATTCATTCAATTCATTAATTGAATCATTGATTGATTAATTCATTCATTCATTCGCTCATTCATTCAACCAATTGTTCAATCATTCAGTTAATCATTTATTCGTTCGTTCGTTCCTTTGTTCCTTGGTTTACTACTAAGCTAATAAAAATAACTTTTCTACAGAATGAGGAGAGGTGAGCTGGGGTGGGCGTCAGCACGTTTCAGATGGTGGTCTCATGATGATCGTTCCGATGACAATTCGAAGAAAACAACGACGGTTTTTGAAGTATGGTTTAGTTTCTTTTTTTTCATTTTTCTCATTCATTCAATCATTTTATCACTATCTTTCAAATTATTCTTCCATTAATTGATTCATTGTTTTATTCTATTCATTCATTGAATCATTGATTGATTAATTAATTAGTTAATTAATTCATTCAACCAATCGTTTAATCATTTGTTCGTTCTTTCCTTTGTTCCTTTATTTATTAACACGCTAATTAAAAAAAACTTGTCTACAGAATGATGAGAGGTGGGCTGTGGTGGGCGTCAGCATGTTTCAGATGGTGGTCTCATGATGATCGTTCCGATGACAACTCGAAGATAATATTAAACGGAAATTTGTTTTTGTCCCATCGTACCATTGAAAGTACTTGAATTTGAACAAAGGATTGAGTGTCATCTCAGTAAGATTAGTTTTTTTCAATGGCCTGTTTTTTATTTTAATGAATTAATTTTTTTTCCAATTTAGTGTTTTTCAGTATCCGGTCGAATTCATTCCATCGATGCGTGTCAGATGATGGTCGGTGCAATGGAGGTTCGTCCGTAATGAGTGAAGAAGTTTCTGGAGAGTTACACGCCCGCACATTTACAAAAACACACACACACATCAATACAACACACACATACACAACATCCATTCATTTGGTGTCGTTGTTATGTTTCTCTTCAACTTTCTATTTTCTTTATCGGACATTAATTTAATTCTTAGGTAAGTTAGGGATTGAGATGAGTTGAACAATCGTAGGTAGGCTAGGGCTTAACATTAGTTAAAAAGTTTCAAGTAAAATAAAAACGCTAAAATATGTTAAATAAAATACCTGAAACATAAAATTCCTAAAACGTAGAAATGCAAATTTGTAGGTAAGTGAGTTGAGTTAATGATTATAAGTAAGCTAGGGCCCTGAGAGTAATTTAATTGTAGGTAGGTGACTGACTACTATTCTTGCGACTTCTTACTAGTTTTGTGTGATGTGTTTGTTTTCGCTTCACAGCTCCACACCAACAAAGCAAACTACATTATATTCTCATCGTCGCCTTAAATTTTACCTTTTTGAACATTTATTACTAGGCTGACTCTTTCACTTTTTTTGTGAATAAATGGAATTAAAAAAAATAAATAAAAACAATGTTTTTAATAATGTCTATTTATTTATTCATTTAATCTTGACTGGTTTCTAGTTTTTTTTTAATTTGGTTATATAATTTTTAGATATTTCTTGATTTACTTTGTATATATGCATGTATAAATAATTTCTGTTTGGTATGTTGATTTAGTCATTATGATATGCTGTGAACTGTTCTTACTAAATGTTCATGGTACGTGATTCATTCTTCGAGAACTACTAAGGAGTGTATAATAATAATAATAATAATAATAATAATAATAATAATAATAATAATAATAATAATAATGGATAATAATTATTTTTATCTGTCGATATTTTGTTGTTTGCTTGTTTAAAATACAAATTTTAAAAAAATTGACGTTTTTAAAATTTTAATTAACTGTCAATTTTCATTTTTGAATGAATTCAAATAAAAGCAACCACTGTGTTTTTCTTTCTTTACTAAAATTTCACCCTCCAAATCTCTCCCAGAAATAAGCTCCTTGTTCGACCGTTGAAAGTAAGCGAAGGCTGTTATATGTATATGTTTCTCGTGTAATGTGAATGTGAACTAAAAAGGTGATTAAAAAAATTAACTGAAACACAGGTGAACGATAAAATCCATCAGAGAAGAAAGCAAGTTAGACTAGGCAGTTCACTCACTGTTAGTATCATACAGCTATGAGTGTTAGCTACGCTGCTGAGCCAATCAGCTATGAGTTTTAGCTTCGCTGCTGAGCCAATAACACACAGACACACACATACACACACACAAACACACACACCACACACACACACCAACACCACATGCACAAAATAAATGTTACGTACACACAGACACGCTTCGTACATATATATTTGAACCCAGACCCTGCAACAACATGATCAAGTGCCTTACCCATAACAACATATTTGCAACATATGTCTTATTCAGATTTGGTAAATTTAACGATCATTCAATAAAAATTTTAGTTTTTTCAAAAATTTTTCATTGGAATGTGTTGCAAATCTACAACTTTCAAGTAGATATCGTCAATTGTTCTTGTAACAACAATTTGAATAAGAGTTAATTTTTAAAAAATAAATTAAGTTTAATAAACAAACAAAAAAACCACACGAAGCGCGTGTTCAAACAAATGTTGTACTAAAATAGAATTGAATAACATGAAAGATTCTTCAAAATGTCTCATAACAGCGCCGATTACAATCTGCTTGCTGTCTTTACATGGATATTATTTTGAATTCTTCACAAAAATTCTTCATAAAGAATTGGCTCGATAATAATTTCTTCATTCTCCATAAACTTCCAACTCACAGACAGTCAAATATTGGTCTGTGTCATTAGCAGACTGTACAATAACATACCTATGTGCGTACGAGTAACTGTTGCATAGAGTTATGTACCAGGAAGCGGATACTGTTACTTTGGGATATTGTCCGCAGAGGTCGTAGTCCAATCTCTTCACGACAGATCCCAGGCTCCTGTTCAGTCCAACTATGTATCTGGATAGTCTTTCTCCTAAACAAAATTACATTACAAACTGTACTGCAAAAAATGTAAATTAATTTTATTATGAAATATGTACAGCCCATCGTGCTGCTACATTAAAATTATTTTTGAAGATTTCGTAAACGTAAAACGTGGAAAATTGTTGGCGAACAGACCCGTCAGAATGAAAAAAATGCAGTGATGAAAAAAATAATTTGATGAGAGACAGAAATTTTCGGGAAGATGGCCTCAAAATGGAGATGATGAAAACGGTTATAAATGTTTGTTTCTAACAAAAACTCACCGCAGCAATCAACCCGATTGACCAGCATAACGTAGTGGACATTGTAGACGCCCAACAAATCAACTGCCAACCAGTTTGGAGGACCTTTATCACTGTGGAAACATCCCTTCTGTAAAAAATTTCCTGATCTATCTCCATCTACTGCATTGTATGGTTGAGAGTTTCGAGCAGAATTTAGTGTTGAACTAGCCGAAGTAGGTTTGTTTTGAGCAAGGTTAGCAAGGTTTCCTGCAAGAGAATTAATTTTTAATTTAGGCGAGTTTGATTGGCACTCGCGAATGATTTGAAAAACTCACTCTTCAGTGGATTATCTTGACTCTGCGTTAGTTTATTAACAAAAGTTTTTAAAAATGTTATTAAATTTATTAAGATAATAGTAACTTTTTATTGTTACCGCATCAACATTTTAATAAATTCTAATATTTCTGAATTTTTTTAAACTTAAATTTTCATTTAACGCCAACACACTTGAAAATAGTAGGAGCACTTTTGGCCAGTCAAGCTCCTTCCGACAACGCTGAAATGTCTGGAGTGTTGCGGAAACATTTGACAGGTACTTTCGCTGGCCAGAAAATTGAATGAGAGACATAATTGTGAGTACAGAGTACTGCATATAAGAGCAGATTCCAATGAACTGTTCCCTGCTACTGTACTTTTATTTTGGAAATCTTCCGAACAGACATAAAATTCCCCATTCCACAATCCATATTGCCAGGATGTCGGTTGGATTGATGGAGATTGAAAACTTATTCCAATGTAGGACAACATCTAAGTAGAAAAAATTACTTTGTAGCATTTAACCAGCCGTTTAAGAGTTTCTTCCATTTTTAATTTTCAGAAGTATGAAAAGATTTAAATAAGCGATGGTGTAATAGTTAAGATGCCGATGTTGCAGTGATTAGCTTCGAATGCATATGAAACCCAACCTATCACGTGCAATGTGGATTCGCGTACACTGTGTGTTTGCTGGTCAAGGCTGAAAAAATATGAGAGATAATTGTGTGAAAATTAAAACAGGAAATTATACAACATTAAATGCTGTAGTTGGATTTATCTGTGTTGGATGATTTTAACAAACTTTTCAAATAAAATAAAATTGTTTATAAGCAACTTCAGTGGAGTTATTTGCAATAAATTTGTTCGTAAATTCTCGTTCAGATAATTATTATTATTGTTAATCTGTTTATATAATTATTAAATGTTATTTGAAAGATCAATCATTAAATATCCTTTTGTCCAAGCATGGCTTTCAAACATTTTTGAATAGACTAATTGGTTTCAAACGTATTAAAAATTCAACGCTTCATATGGTACTGCCGTGAGTGAACAAAGCGAATCATTTGAAATTCGCATTTATAATGGTTCAAATGTGAATGTTAATGAACAAATATTTGCAAAAATGAAGCACACACGCGCGCGCGCACACGCACGCACACACACACGCACGCCCACACACACAAATATATAGACTACGAAATCATTTACAGCAGAAGAATAATGTTCATAAAAGACCAAAAGTATGCGTTTGATGGAAAACATTCAAGGCATCCCAAACTTCGTTCTATACTTTCAATTTTATTTTCATTCTCCATAAACTTCCAACTCACAGACAGTCAAATATTGGTTGGTGTCATTAGCAGACTGTACAATAACATACCTATGTGCGTACGAGTAACTGTTGCATAGAGTTATCTGGATAGTCTTTCTCCTTTGTGGGAATAGAGATATCATTTTTATCAAATCTTTCTCAGGTTTACCAACAACACACTTCAACTCAACCAGCCGCCTTAAATATTGCACTATTTTGTTTTTGAAATGAATTGTTAAATGTTTTTTAATTTTTGTTGAATTGAAATTTTAATAAATTCCACGCTACCAAATTTTGAACTCGCAACCAAAATTTGAAATGGCTAGCTCACCGCAACAGTCAACTCTGTTGACGAGCATCACGTAATGCACAGTGTACGTATTCAACAAATCCACAGTCAACCAATTTGGTGGTCCAATGTTGCTGTGGAAGCAGCTGCCCTGGCTGTAGATACCAACTCTTCTGCCGTCTACTGACTTGTTTGGTGTGGAGAGGTTGGCCGAGAAAACTGAACTGGCTGTCGTAGGTTTACCAAGTGCCAGATTTGTGAAATTGGCTTCGAGTGGGTTGTTTTTTAAACGTTTCCGTCATATTTGCATATTAATTTTTATATAGTATTTCAACAACAAACGAAATTTTGGATAATTATAACTACAATTTTGTCACTACCAATCGGTTATATTATTGAAACTTCATATGAAAACATACCTTGAAGATATTTACCAGAATCCTTTATGATGCAAAATAAAATATATTAAGACTATTTTAATTTTTTTTCAATTAAAACAATTAAAATAGATAAATTTACTGAAATTATAAATTTTTAATAAAACGTTTCAATGTTGAGCGGCGCGATGGTGAAACGGTTAAAGTGCTTGGCTCTGCTATAGCAGTGACCGAATTCGATTGCAAAACGATCCCTACCTATAACATGCATGGCTGGTGATTCGTTAAATTACATGCACCGTTGATACTATTAAAAAATCACTAAATAGAGAATTATGAAATAAAATTGAACCGAACATTAAAAATATCAAAAACCGATCTAAACAATGACAAACTTTGAAGAAATAATGGCATCTCCTATCTTTAACGACGCGAAAATGTTTCGAAAGGTTAGAGAATATTTGACATGAACTCTCGTTGGCAAGAAAATTGTAGGATGAACAATCTGCAAACTGTGTGACACACACGACTGCGCATTCCAATGAACTGCTGTAACCAGGAATGGTACTTTTATTCAGGAAATTCTCCGAACAAACTTGAAATTCTTCATTCCACAATCCATACTGCCAGGTTGAATAATTCAAGTTTAAGGTTTGTGATACGGAGAATAGGTAAATGTAACCAGGAAATATCAGAACGTATGAGGCGTGTTTCATCAGCCGGTTACTTACTACCATCACTGCCATGTCAGGGGTTCGGTTTTTTGTCAAAAATTGTTTAAAATATTTTACGGAATAATATTATTTTTGAAATATTTAAATTTTAAATTATATAGTTAGTTATAAAAATACTTGAATAAATATTTCCACTAATATTACTAAACAGAAAACATCATTTTTTTAACAATTTTTTAAAATTCAAATCACGAGAAATATTTTCTATTAATGATATTTGTACTTATTTGTCCTCAATTTTTTAACTCACACACTCACACACACACACACACACACACACACACACACACACACACACGCACGCACATTCATCACGAAACAAAAACACCACCACCAACAAAACAATGCCAAACTTGCCAAACATCACACAAATAATGGAAAATTAATTAACGAACAACAATTCTGATGAAAAAGCGATCAATTAATTAGTACACGAAGAAAAACAGAGAAAAATTTAATTTCTTGCTAAAAAAAATTTTTTTTGGTAAGGTTGATTTTAACAAAAAAAGACAGTTTTCAGGCAAATTTTGACAAAAAAAGTTAATAAATTATTTTTGTCTATATTTGATTTAACTCACGTGGCTACTCTAAAATTTTCCATGCTGGAAATATTTTCCACTGTTCATTTTCATGGAAAAACTGTTGAAAATTATTATTTTTTTTCTGCAAGTAGTTTTAATCCCGATGAAAATTGTGTCGTAAGAAGATGTTTCAGCCAATGCTAAACAAATTCTGTGGTTAATTAAAGCAAACAAACCATGCTAAGGGATCTAATTGTCACCATAAAAAAATGAATTTCTGCAAATCTGTCTTCGAGCTACCAACAACAACAACATTAACACACACACACACACACACACACACACACACACACACACACACACACACAAAAAACACACACACAAAAAACACACACACAAAAAACACACACACATTAACACGCATACCCACACATAGACACACACACACACGCACACACACTGCATGTGATAAGAGGGGAATAATTGGCATTGAAGAATAATGAAGAAAATGATTTTTCAAAATATTTTATTCAACGAACAAACCAATGAAGATATAATTAACAAGAATTTTCTTCTTGAAATTTGTAATATTTTAAAACAATCACAATTCTTAATAGTGATATAAATAGTTTAATTATTGTTTAACATAAGGTAAGTGAATGAATGAGTGAATGAATAAATGTGAATAAATTTGAATGAATGAATGTGAATGAATATATAAAGGTGAATTTATTAGCTGTGAAAATAAATAAATAATTAGATGAATGTGTGATCGACTGAATGTGTGAATTAATAAAATAACAATACGAAAAATAGTTCAACTAAAATCCAACAACACTCATTAACTATAAATAAATGAATGTTTGATTGATCGAATGAATGAACGAACGAACGAACGAATGAATGAAAGAATGAATGAATGATAGAGTGAAGGAATGAGTGAATTATACACACACGTACGTTGGTATCATTCAGCAATCCAACAAAATTGCTTGAAGTAGTCAGTGTTGATGTTGCAAAACATTTCTAAAGGGGAGTTTTGAAACATTTTTAACATTTAAACAACATTTTTAATATTAAAAATTCGATTTATCGTTTTGTATAAACTTGAAATCATCGACAGATAATAACTATTATTTATTATTTAGTGAATAATAAAAACAAAAAAATACCCGTCTTGGGCTGGCAGTTGGAGAGCATGTTCTCCCTCATGGCCAGCACGTTGGCGTAGAAGATGTAGAAGGTAGGGAAGGACATGCAGTGGTGATTCTCCATGTGCCAGGCTCTCGCATAACACCTTTGCTTTATGTACTCGTACCTATGGGTGAAACATTTGACTTGTTCTTTCGGGGACTCTCTCTTTCTCATTCTCTCTCTCTCTCTCTCTCTCTCTCTTTCTCTCTCTCTCTTTCTAAATATTTTCTTTCTAATATATTATTCTCTCTTTCCATTTTTCTTTACACACCTCCTTTCTCTTTCTGTCTATCTCTATACTTTCATTTTTCCTCTTTCTCTGATTCTTCCATTTTTTCAAAAATACACGAGAATTCATCCAAATAATTTATAATTAAATTAATTAATTAATTAACTAATTAAATTAATCTATCCAAATAATAGAGATAAGTAGTGACGCTGACTTGCAGTGGTATCCAGGTGTGGTGGCGTTGGTGTCCTCAGACCGATCGCGCACGTACCTACTCGCGTTCAGTGACTTCAGGCAGGCCCCATACTCCTCTTCAGCAATCAAGTTCCTGGTAGGGCACAGCATATAACTTACGTAACCTTGGGGCGAAAAAGTTTAAAGGTTAAAAAGTCATAGAGGTTGAAAGGTCGCAAAGGTTAAGAGGTCAAAAATTGGAAGATTGAAAAACCAAATATTGAACGTTTGAGGTCAATGGTTGGGTAGTTTAAAACATTAAAACATCAAATTGTTCAAAATTAAATGTTAAACAACCAGCCAGAATAAAACGAATTATTATGACGATAATTAACTATTTAGTATAATATAATTAATAAATAAACTACAACTTGTTCTATACTGGCAGACGTAATCTAAGAAATGAATCGGAGAATCTGTCGGCTCGTTGTAAAGGCAACTGGCGGGTTTGCGTTGGTTGATGCATAGGTCGTATCTAGGTTTCAACCTGGACAGAAAGTATCACTTATTCAAATTACCACTGCTGCTGTTATTACTGTCGCTATTGCAAATACTATTGCTGCTACTGCTGCTGCTGCTGCTGCTACTGCCAATACTTCTACGACTACTGCAGTTGATAGGCATAATACTTTACGCACATGTCAAATCGAAGAGGGCATTTTATTATTCGAATTATTACTACTACTGCTGTTGACTATTACTTCAACTACCACTACTACTACTACTACCACTAAAACTATTAGTTGTAGTAGTAGTAGATGTTGTTGTGGTTGTAGTAGTACAGCAACTAATGTCGGTTCGTTGTAAATGCTGCTGTTACTACTACTACCACTAAAACTATTAGTTGTAGTTGTAGTAGTAGTAGTAGTAGTAGTAGTTGTTGTTGTTGTTGTTGTTATGGTTGTAGTAGTAGTACAGCAACTAATGTCGGTTCGTTGTAAATGCTGCTGTCACTACTACTACTACTACTGCTACTGCTGCTACTACAACTACCATTACTGCTGCTGTCGTTACTACAACTACCGTAAAAAAGTAATACTAAAATAAAAGCCACAAAATAAACTTACACGCAGTAATAGTTTAATTTGGAGAGTTCAAATTTTCCAAATTCAAGAAAATAGCCGCCAAAGTATTCGTTCAAACAGATGCGAGCCAGCTGATTCAAACATGAAGGTACTGGCAGACTTATTTGTGTAGTTGACGGCACGGTTTGATAAGTTGTTGTGATTGTTGTCTTCGTTGTTGTTGTTGTGGATGTTGTTGTTGTTACTGTAGTTGTAAAATTTGTTGTTGTTAGTGCTGTAAAGTTTGACGTCGCTAATGTCGTGAAATTTGATGTAACTGCCGTGAAATTTGATTCTGTAAGGTTTGCTGGCCTAACGAGGGTAAGGGTAAAGTTTGCTGAAGAAGATTCGTTAGTGGTCGTTGTTGATGACGTCAAATTTGTTGTTGTCGTTGAGTTTGTTGTTGATGCAATTGTTGAGTTTGTTGCTGATGTTGAAGTGGAATTTGACGTTGTTGATGTTTGCATGGATTTATCAGGCTGTAGTCCTGCTGGGTTTGTCACGTTTGTTCTTAACCGAGTCAGATTTGATTCTGGTGATGTGGCTGTTGTCGCTACTACAGTTGCCGCCGCTGCAAACGCCATTGTCGTTGTTATTGCTGATCCACCGGCTTGGGGTTTAATTGTTGTTGTCAGGAATGCTACAGTTATTGATGTCATTAAAAGATCAGCTGGTGTTGTTGTTGACATCATTGCTGTTTTTGTTGTTGTTGTCAAATTCGTTAATGACAAATTAGCTGATGTTGTTGTTGTTGCTGTTGTTGTTGTTGTTGAAGCAGTAGCTGTCGATGATGATGACGTGTTGAGGTTACTGGATAATAGTGTTGCATTGGTCTCCGGAAGTATTTTTACGATGACGTCAGACGTTTTGTTTCCGGCAAATGATGCAGTACCAAGTAGCTCAGCTGTGATATTTCTAACATTAATACGGGCATCAGCAGCAATAGCTGATGCAGTTGTACGATTCGTTATAATATTATTCAAATTTGCAGAATCGGCACTGTTAATACCAGCCAAAACATTTCCACTACCAGAATTACCTCTTGTATCATTAAGGTTGATAGTATCTCTAGCAATAGTATCATTAATAGTATCACTAAAAGTATCCTTAAAAGTGGTATTGGTGTTTAAAGTTAAAGTAGTACTGATAATATTGTCAACAGCCCAACGGGTATTTTTCTCACCCGAGTCTGGGCTAGTAATGTCAGCTACGACAATACCATTAACTGCATTAAAAGCAGTATTATTATTATTATTATTATTATTACTATTATAATAATAATAATTATTATTATTGTTATTATTATTATTGTTGTTGTTGTTATTATTATTATTACTACTACTACTATTACTAGTACTACTAGTATTATTATAATAATTATTATTACTAATATTACTATTAGATACGGTATCGTTAGTAACTGACGGGTTAGGTCTGTGGTCGGTGCCACTGGCTTCATTAATGTTGTTTGAATTTGGAGTTTGTGTTTTGTTGTCGTTGCTGTCGTTGTTGCTGTCATTGTTGCTGTTGTTGTCGTTGAAGTTGTTGTTGATAATGATGTTGTTATTGTTGTTGATGATGTTGTTATTGTTGTTGTTGGAGGCAATTGGTGGTGAGTCTGAAATTGCTTTCTTCACGTTCGTTGTTGTTGTACGGATGGTGTCGTTGGTGATGATGGTGATTGTGAGGTTGTTGTTATTGTTGTTGTTGTTGGAGGCGATTGGTGGTGAGTCTGAAATTGCTTTCTTCACGTTCGTTGTTGTTGTTGTATGAATGTTGTCGTTGGAGATGATGGTGATTGTGAGATTGTTGTTATTGTTGTTGTTGTTGTTGTTGTTGGAGGCGATTGGTGGTGAGTCTGAAGTTGCATTTTTCACATTTGTTGTTGTTGTTGTACGAATAATGTCGTTGGTGATGATGGTGATTGTGAGATTGTTGTTATTGTTGTTGTTGTTTGAAGTTGCGTTATTCATGTTCGTTGTTGTTGCACGAACGGTGTGGTTGGTGATGATGATGACTGTGGGATTGTTGTTGTTATTATTGTTGTTTATTGTATTGTTATTATTATTATTATTGATGTTGTTGTTGTTGTTATTATAATAGTTATTGCTGCTGTTGTTGTTGTCATTAGTATTGTTATTATTGTTACTGTTATTGTTGTTAGAGACGATTGGTGCTTCTGAAATAGCTTTCTTCACGTTTTTAGTTGTTTGAATGGTGTCATTGGTGATGATGGTGGGGTTGTTGTTATTATTGATGTTGTTGCTATTGTTGTTGTTAGTATTGTTGTTATTATTGTTACTGTTATTGTTGTTAGAGGTGATTGGTGCTTCTGAAATAGCTTTCTTTACGTGTGTAGTTGTTTGAATGGTGTCGTTGGTGATGATGGTGATTGTGGGATTGTTGTTATTATTGCTATTGTTGTTGTCATTACTATTACTGTTGTTATTATTGTTGTTATTGTTGTTGATGTAATTGGTATTGTTGTTGTTTTTATTATTGTCGTTGTTGTTGTTGTTGTTAAACGTAGAAACAGGTTTTTCTGATGTTTTTTTTGTTGATGTTGTTGCCCTCTCATCTGATGTTGATGTTGTTGTTGTTGAAGCCGTCTGGTTCGTTGTTGACGACTTTGAAGATATTCTTGCTGTTGTTGTGTTTTCCGCCGACAAATTTGAAACAACTTTTACAGGCTGAGAGGAAGTTCTATTGTCAGAACTCGTTAAAACCGCGTCTGAAATTGTTTCGCTAGCAATCGCGAAATTTGTCCCAGATGACGAATTTGGATTCGCCATCAACACATCAATAGAAGCAACAGCACTATAAGCGTCATTTAATGTACTAGTGATGTTATTTAATGTCATATTCTCCCCTGCTGTGGTTAAAATTTGTTGACCTTTATTCAGAATTATCTCATTTGCATTTGAAGATACGTTTTTATTTGGATTTGTTATTGAAATCGCAGTTCGGTACTCTGGATTCACATCTGAAATGTTGTTTAAACTCTCAAAACCCTTTACCAAAGTGATCTGGCTATGTTCACGTCTCCTTAATTTAGTTGAACTACCATTTGCTTCTTGCGACTGTTGCGATGAAAATGTAGTAGAAGTGGTAGTTGTTGTTAAATCTGAAGCTATATATGGTATGTTGTTTAGTGTTTTGTTATCACTTGATGACATTATCTGGTTATGTTTATTTTTAAGGGGTTCATTTTTGTTGTTGTTGTCGTCGTAATTGTTGTTGGAAACAGTTTTTCCGTTTGATGCTGTTTCGGTTGGCGGTGAAGAGTTTGGTGGTAATGGAGAAATAGTTGCTACAGTTACTGTTGTTTGCAATTTTGTTGTTGTTCCATTTGTTGATGTTGTTGTTGTTGATGACGACGTTGTTGTTGTTGATGACGACATTGTTGTTGATGATGATGATGATGACGACGTTGTTGTTGTTATTGTTGTTGTTGTTGATAACGACATTGTTGTTGTTGTTGTTGTTGTTGGTGGTGTTGTTAAGTTTAAGGAGGCCAAATTAGAAATGATTTTTGTCGTGATTTTTTCATTGCTCAATTTTACTGCTACAGTTTGTACTCGTTTTTTTATCGCTAATTCACTTCCACCACCTGGGCTATTATTATTATTATCATTATTATTATCATTATCATTATTATTATCATTATCATTATTATCAACAACAGATTGGTTCAGAGTATAAACAACATTTTTGTCGTTATTTGTGTTATTATTATTATTATTTTTATTATTATTATTATTTAGCGATTTAATGGTGATGCTAGTAATAGTGAGCTGCTTAGCATCCTTGCTCGTGACGGTGTTGATTGCAATGAGAACTGTATTATTATTATTATTATTATTGTTGTTATTGTTATTATTATTATTATTATTACTATTATTATCATCAGTACTATTATTAATATCATCATTATTAATATTATTATTATTAGTAGTAGTAGAAGTATTATTATTATTATTAATATTAGTAGTAGCAGTAGTAGTATTGTTATTGTTATTATTATTATTATTATTTTTATTATTATTATCATTAGTAATATTATTAATATCATCATTATTAACATTATTATTATTAGTAGTAGTAGTAGAAGTATTATTATTATTATTAGTAGTAGTAGTAGTATTATTGTTATTGTTATTATTATTATTATTATTATTATCATTAGTATTATTATTAATATCATCATTATTAACATTATTATTATTAGTAGTAGTAGTAGAAGTATTATTATTATTATTAGTAGTAGTAGTAGTATTATTGTTATTGTTATTATTATTATTATTATTATTATTATTATCATTAGTATTATTATTAATATCATCATTATTAACATTATTATTAGTAGTAGTAGTAGTAGAAGTATTATTATTATTATTAGTAGTAGT